TCCGTATTGTCCGTTATATCAATTGCAATAGCTATATTTTCTCCTAAAGTGCCATCACTTTCCATTTCTTCTTTTGCCTCAACGTATATATCCGTCGACCTATGTTCATATGCAATATTTTGCATTTTTATAAAAACGTCACTCTCATCTATAATTAACTCTCCCTCATTTAAATTGAACCGGGTTGTTTAAATACTATAACCCTAGGTGTTTTATATCCATATTCAATAACAACATTATGGATGTTTTTTAATGTCATGTAATCAAGATATTTCGACCACTTGCATGATCCAACCCCGACCTCGCCAATACGAGTATTTGGATTCGGACTATTGAATAACCTACCAACATAAAAATTTAACTTGAATGTCTTAATCATCTCGTGGAAAAAAAAACATTAAAAGGACAAACATATTATAATAAGCTCGTAAATACGGACTTAACATAATAAAAATAATTATGCTAATTTATAGTTATGATCCATTACAATATAGTTAATCCATTTACACGAGTGAAGAAACCACAAAAATCCGTAATCATCCAAATAGACATAAATGAGAAAACCCCTAAGCACATACTCTTTAAATTGCATCAATCTTTTATGATGGCAAAAAATAAAATATAAGTAGGTAGAGATAGAGAGAGGGGGAACTAGTTGAAGATTCATGGATTTTTTGAAATTTATACAAATGCGAGTGTGGGATTTGTTTTTTAAATTTTATGAGGAGAAAAGATATTGGTTGAAGATTCGTCGAGTCAGAAGAGAAAACGATTAAGGTTGAAGATTCATTAGGTAGAGAAGACAAGAAGATTGGGGTTCTTAAAAAAAAAAAGATTAAGGATCCGGACTTGTTCATCGAGAATAAGAAGATTAAGGATTTGACTTTTTATGAATTGAATTAGGTTTGTTAGTTTTTGAAATTGATTTTGAATAAGTGGACGACAAGTCGTGCGTTCAAGCTAAAATTTTAATTTTGTTAGCTATGTGTCATCTTATGTTGATCGTTATCTATGGTAGCATCCTACGTGTCATGCCACATTAGATGAACTTAGAATCTTGGACGAAAAATGGCTCTCTTGCTAAAATGGTTATCAAAAGTATAGTTCATGTATTCTTCATCTACTTTTGAAAAAACATGTCGAATCATTAAAAGGTATATAGTCCACATTTTATGGTATAATAAACCTTTTTATAATGACAATACGTAGGTTATTGAATTTAGATTCAACATCAAATTATAAAAAGATATCAAGATGGTAATTTGGGTTCACAAGTCATGGCAACCTATGCATAATTGAAACCTTAAAAAAACTTTATGTTTTATAATAATTATTATTTTTATAGGTCGGTTAACACTAAATTATTTTTCCAAAGATAGAGGACATGGAAGTTTTTAAATTAATAATTACATTAGTATAAGCAAACTTGCTATTATGTACATGGTACTTTCTTTTCTATAATAACTAATATGTAATGTGATTTTCAATAACTATTGATGTTTAATATAATACAAAGATATTGTTATTGTTGTTTGCCATTATATTACCTTTGTAACCGCAAGGTGGTAACCCATTGGTAAGTAAGCATCAACTTGTAGGCTAGGTTTAGATTTTGATATTTGTGGTCGGTACTCTTGATAATTTATTCTCATAATACCCGAAACCATACTTTGGAGAGTTCCCTTAGCCATGTCCAGGGGAGGATTAATCTCGAGGTGCATGAAAGTTGGCCCAAGGACACTCTTACTCGCTAAAAAAAAAACCTTTTTAACATTTCACGAAAATAAGAATTACAATATCATTATATAATGGTAATTGTTATTGCAGTAAAAATAATAATCCACTCACCAAATTGATTTTTTTTGGTAATTTTTGTATTCTAAATTCATTTTTTCATATTTGTTTCGCTTTTTTTAATAGCTACAATGCATTAATATAAGAAAACCTATCAATATATTATCGTACATCGCACCATTTATATATCATACCTTTTTGTAAAAAAAAATCAAGTGTAATCGTTATTTTGTTTCAATTTTCTAACCTAATTCTTTTATATATAAAACTTTAGTATGTAGGGTCGATCCGAGTTGATTATGTTTGTCGATCCACTACTAAAGTGCCTAATCACTCTAAAAAAAAAACTCCCATACCGCACCAAGCTTTATCAAGCCTATTCTTTTATTGAAGTTTAGTAACTCAAAGTTTTTTTTTTTTTTAAAAAAAAAGGAAAGACCTTCCATAAAAAAATGTTTTTTTGATATATTTGTTTGGGTGTAGACAACATGCTTAAGTCTTGATAGTGGTACTAAAGTTAGTCAAAACTTTTTCGAACTTTAATAGGAAAATAAAGTAATTTGTAAGTTATTATTTTTCAAGGCCGATCTCTATTTATACTAAGGAATTAAGATTGTTACAGTATTTGAAAGCATTACAACTATAATGTTTTTAATTTATGAATCATTAATTATTTATATTTATTATATTATAATAACTAATCTTACCACTTGATAACTAATTAATCAGTAATTGTGTCGATCACCAATACTAGTGTACAATTGCAACTCAAAGGTAAATTATTATCTTAAAAGAGGAAAACAAATGTTAGTCATTTTGGCATCACTAAAAGAGAAGCAATTATCAAATAGATTCACTTATCACACAATAAAAAATTATCTTTATTTTTTTTTGCAATTCAACTAATTGATTCACAATTGTGTTAATTATGAATAATTTAATACATATATATTTTTTAAAAAATACCTTGAAGAAAAAAAAGGTATGATGTACATTTCAAAAAAAAAAAAAAACAAAAAGACCATTTAAAATCAATTACAGTCTTAAAAACATTTGTAATCATTGCATTTTAAACTTTATATTATTATTTTATGAAATTAAAAAAGTAACATAATTATAATGCCTTTAGACAACCATAACAAGCACCAACAATACATAAATATATTCATAGAATGTTACAATTTTTTTTTTTACTAAATAGGACTGTAGTGATTTCATTTTTGGTCATGACAATCATATTTTAAAACAACCATATATCTTGCTTATTAAAAAAATAAAATTAATGGTTACAAAGGTTTTTTTTTTTTTTTACTTTTTTTTTTGTTTTTATTATGTTACTCTACTCTTTTTTGTATTAAATTCATTTTTTTATATTTAGTTTTTATCTTAATCTCATCTTTCTTTTAACTTTTAAATTAAAATGGTTAATTTGTTTTTTTTTTCTATTTTAATCTCATCTCTCTATTCTATTTTGGAGTCTTACTTTTATTTTTTAACTAAATTTAATAAATAAATTTTAGAAAATAAAAAATTTGGGTAAAAAGAAAAAATATTTATTTTCATTCTCTCTAATTTTTTTTTAAACGAGTGAAGCTAAAAATATTTTTTATATAAAATATCTTTTATGGCTTTAAATTTATGTCTATGATAGTAAATAAATTTTAAGCATAGCATAAAATATTTACAATAATTTTTTTTAGCACTAACAATAATCTATTTCCCCACTTTTGAATCAAATTAAAAATTTTGTAACATCAAAATAAGTAAATTATAATAGACTCATTTAAGACATTGCAAAATTATAAATATCATTAAAAAATTTAAAAATTCGACTAAAACTCTATTCAAACACACACACACACAAATAACAATGAACAAAAAACAAAAAGAAAATAAGCAACGAGTTTATAAATAGAGCGAAGTTCTAGATAAGGAGTTTTCTATTTTGAATATACTCGAAAAAAAGACTAGATTGTGTAATGATGAAACTAAAAAAGAATAATTACCTAAAATATATGATCCTTTTTTGAGTGGTTTCTCTCATGGAAAAGTCCTTTTTTTTTTACCCTCAATCATAAATGAAATTTCCATAAAAAATTACCCGAGAGATGCTTTGGATGAATAAAATTTATATTATCCTTGTTATTTTTAATTATCAAGAATATATATACACACACTCAAAATTTGCTCATTATGATATAGATACATTTTTTTTTAGAAAAATATAAATATTTTGTTTTATATTCAAAGTTTACTTACTATCACATAGACAAATTTAAGCTCATAAAAGAAATATTAGATTAAAAAATATTTTTATCTTTATTTTTTATCATTTTTTTTAAAAATTCATTTATTTAAATTCGGTAAAAAGAAGATTAAGACGAAGAAATAGAATTGAGAGATGAATTAAGACCAAAAAATTAACCAAATCAAAATAGTTTGTTCAAAAATTAACAGATAGAGGAGATTAAGACATAAATTAATCATAAAAAGATGAATTGAAAAAAAGGAATAGACAGACACAATAAATATATATATAAAAATGGAAAGAATGATATATGCAACCACTAACCCTTCAACAGAAAAAAGACAAACCTCAAAAATACTACCTAACTATAAAGGCATTTTTAATGTTACTGCCAAATATTACAAAATAATATTTCATATCAATTTTATCTTCAAAACTTTCATAAATTCTCAATTAAGGATTTCTATTTACTTTATAGGCTTTCTATTAATATTTTCATCCAAATTGTACTTTTTTGTGGACAAGAAATGATGTTAATTTGTTGTGAATTTAACATTTTTTTTTAAGTGACTACAACATAAAGTTTTAATTAAAAATTGAAATAATTTAGTAATAAAATTGCTGTAAAAAATAGTTTGGACGTAAAATTGAAATTATGCTAATAATTTGATGATATATATTTAATGTATGCTATTAAAAAAAAAGAAAAAAAATTATGAATATCTTTACCCTTAAGAGTTTTTTTTTAAAAAAAATATAAATCCAAGTACCCAAGTAAGTCCGTGGATCAGCAAGCCAAAATTCCAGTCCATTAATAAACAAAGCGAACCGTCGTCATTCTCTTTACGCTAGCCAGTTCCCTCTCCCTCAGCACCAGACGCAGAGAGGAAACAAGAGATCTGATCGAATCCAAATCTGGGTCAACTCAGCGAGTGAGCGACTCAGTAATTTTGACAGCATGGATCCGGCGAAGACTCCGCTTGGCAAAATGCTACTGGAGGAGATCACTCCGGTGGTCATGGTCCTCCGCACACCTCTCGTAGAAGAATCTTGCCTCAAAAACAGCCTCTCCTTCATCGAAATGCTTACTCCCTTTTGCAACTTCCATAACATCGACGGTTAGCTATCTCCACTATCTATTTAATGCTGCAATTTTGAAGCTATTGAGAGTGAAAGTTGAGATTTTTCTTTTTGGTTCTGTTAAATGTAGTGCCTGTACGGACCTCGAGTGATCAACCTTATAGGCTACAGAAGTTCAACTTGAGGTTGTTTTATGAGTCTGATATCAAGCAGCCGAATCTCGAGGTAATCACTTTGTTTTGGTATCTAAGAAAATTGAATTTCTGTTTCAATTAATATAAAATGTTTGGATTTACAATTTAGCTTGGGTCAAATTTTATTGTTGATGAAGCTAAACTGCGATTTTGGCATTTTGATTATTATGTTGTTGAGCTAGGTAGCGAAGGAGCGATTAAAGCAGGTTATTACCGAGGCAGGAGAGAGAGATAGTTCGGAATTGTGCACGGATCTTCCTGATATTAGCAATGTACTTGCGAGTAAGTTTTTCTCATTTTATAAGCATGTAAACTTGTCAATAGGAGGTTCTTTTATCATTTTTGTATATTTAATCTAACTCATCTTTTCTACTTCGAGGCGTGTTATTCTCACTGTCTTTTTCTGCAGAGGCGAATTTATGTTCTGTTTTTCTGCTGTTTTGCATCACTTGATTTTTTTTTTTATGAACTCTATATTTGAGATTTTAACTTACTGAATCATTTGCACGGGCAAATTTATATCCTGTTTTTCTGCTGTTTTGCAGCACTTAATTTTTTGGTTATGAACTCTATATTTGAGATTTAACTTACTGAATCATTTGGTCTATGTGACTTGTGCAGGCTCCAAGTCTGAAATATCACCATTTTGGTTTGAATTTTTCAACAAAGAGCTTGTACGTACTGTCTCTTTTTCCGAGCATGAGGCTTTTGATCATCCCGTGGCATGTAAGCTTTCAAAACCTATAGGAATATGGACTTCCAGTTGTTATTTATTTCCCCTTCTTTTTCCATGGGCCACACACACACACACACACATATTATATGTGGGCCATTTTGCTAATGGGATAGTTCTTAAAGTTTTGTTTAGTGTAATTCTAAAACCATCTCGAGTTTCATTCATGGAATTTTTCTAATTTGATAAGCAGGTCTTTTGGTTGTTTCTTCAAAGGATGAACAGCCTATCAACAAATTTGTGGACCTTTTCAACACTAACAAGTTGCCCTCTCTTCTCAATGATGGTGAAATGGACCCAAAGATTTTGAAACATTATGTATTGGTGCATGATAATCAAGATGGTCCTTCAGAGAAGTATGGTTGTCTTCACTTTCTTGTTATGTCAGAAAGCTTTATCTAAGTATGGCAATATAAGAACAATAGATAGAGGCAAGTATTTGGCTAAATGATTAGACCTTTGTGGTTATTATTCCGAGTCATTGCCTTGTCCTGTTTTTGACTCGGTGCATTTGAGAGAGTCCTCCCTTTCCACCTATTTTCTGCCAAAAAGTATATCTATAGGGGCTCTTTCATATTTGTAACTTGTAAAATTAAATTGTGAATTTTGTCCTGCATTTTTTCCTTTAAATAACCTTTTTTCAACTACATTTCATACTGTTAAGTTTTGGTTCTGCTCTCTTTAGGCAAGTTTTACAACTCAGACTTATTGTGATGGGTTTTGAAATGTTATTTATTTGATTTCAGGGCAACTAAAATACTAGCAGAGATGAAAAATACTTTTGGTTCTAATGGCTGTGACTTGCTTTGCATCAATTCTTCTCAAGTTGAGCAGATAGAACATCAAGATAATCCTTGGGCTCCTTACGTAAGCTACTTTCTAGTATTATCGATCTTTTTCATGCTTTGAAACTTTTACCATGTGATTCATAATCTTTGACTTGAATTATTGGAAAAGATGAGCTAGATTAAGACTTTGGCCGTATCTACTTCTGTGACTTTGACAGAAATCTGATTCTTCACCAATTCAGCATCTTGGTTGTTACCTTAACATCGATGATTTTAGTGAGGTAAAGTGCTTTTATCACTGTTAGTGTATGGTCTAAACTGTTATTTCTTTTCGTTTCCTTCCTTTCTTTTGTTTTGGGGTGATTAATTCTCGAGCTTCTAACAAGTATATTGTACAAATTGGGAACAGATAAAGGATTTGATACAAGAATTAACATCTAAACACATTATTCCTTACATGGAGCAGAAAGTTCGTGTGCTCAATCAGCAGGTAGGGAATTTCCAGCATTCCTTTACTCTTCGAGTATTCTCATGAGGGGGCTTGTTTGCTTTCACATGTACTACTCTGAAATCTAAGCTATTAGTCTTCTCATATTTACCCTATGATTCTATCCCTTTTCTTTCTCATGTCATATTTTATTGTGACTAGGTTTCCGCTACAAGGAAAGGCTTTAGAAACCAAATTAAAAACTTATGGTGGAGAAAAGGGAAAGAAGACATACCAGATTCCTCCAATGGCCCCATGTATGTTTAAAAAATGCCTTCTTTTTGTCACGTCAAAGCTTGCTTCTTATTTCACTCTAATTTTCCCTAATATAGGATTCTACATTCACTGTTGAAGGTATACCTATAGCTCCATCGAGTCTCAGATCAGAGTTTTGGGTGACTACGCATTTATGTTAGGAGATTATGAACTTGCATTGTCAAATTATCGCCTTATTTCCACAGATTATAAGATTGATAAAGCTTGGAAGCGCTATGCTGGTGTGCAGGTATGTTCAAATTTTGTTTCTATAAATATTTGCTGCTCTTGATGGTCATTTTCTAGTCTGTCATAAATACTACTTGATTTTATATGGTAGATCTGGGATAGTAGTGATAATTGTTGGAAATGTGGATAATTGCTGAATGCAGTAACAAACTTTTCTTTATCAGAACTTTTAAGTGCAAAACCATGTTATTGAAGCATCTTTAGCTCTTGTAACTTTTATTTGGTCTAGGTATCATATATGTTTTTGGAAATGCTTGGATGGTCTGTCATTGTTTGGAAAATTCTTAATCTGTTACTTTGACTGCCTGTTCGGAGTTCCTTTATTAGCCTCTTTATTCTTCAAATTATACCACGTCAACTTGTGAATCATCTCCTCTAGCAACATTTTTCATTTGTCTCATTGGTTCCATGCAGGAAATGATGGGGCTTACGTACTTCATGCTGGATCAATCGAGAAAGGAAGCAGAATATTGCATGGAAAATGCATTTAACACTTATTTAGTATGTGTATTCTTTCTTGCTTCATCCTTGCTCTGACAATATAATAAAGAGAACAATTTGATCATTTTGGTTAGATCTCCTTTATTACATTTATTTAAAATGATGCACGATCAACTCTTTTCTAGGCCTCGTAACTTGGTTAGAAAGGGACGTTAGTTTACTAACTTAGCTTCATATGAGCATTGGCCTAACTCTATGGACCTGGTTATTTAGACATGTTGCTATTAATCTGACAGATTATTCTTGTCAAGTGAATTAAGCAACAAATGAGTCATGTGCTCTTTCAACTTTGTTTAAGTACATCGAATTTGGCTTCAATACAGAAACTTGGGTCTTCTGGTCAACAAAATGCTACGCGCTGTGGTCTTTGGTGGATAGAAATGTTGAAGACAAGAGATCAATATAAAGAGGCTGCCACTGTTTACTTCCGCATTTGCAGTGAGGTACTGCTGTGTTTTCCAAATCAAAATGAATGAGGGAGTGTTTATTTTTCATTGAGATTTGTTTTCTACAGGAACTTTTACATTCAGCTGTTATGCTTGAGCAAGCATCTTATTGCTACTTGTTGTCCCAACCACCCATGTTACACAAGTATGGGTTTCATCTTGTTCTTTCTGGCGATCGGTATAAAAAATGTGATCAGGTACGTATTTTATTTATGCACATATCTAATTATAGCAAATTGCATGAAGTGGCTTCAGAAGATATTTGCTGTTTCCTCTCATAGATTAAACATGCAATTCGCACATATAGAAGTGCTGTCTCAGTATATAAAGGAACCCCATGGAGCTATATCAAAGATCATGTTCATTTCCATATTGGCCAGTAAGTTATTTCCAGTCAATGCAACTGGATTTTGCATGATTAACATGCTGGGCCTACAGAATTTGTGAAGCACAATTTTTTGACAGTATTTATTTTGTATAGGTGGTATGGTTTTCTTGGGATGTATGATGTTGCTGTCACACATATGTTGGAAGTCCTGGCCTGCAGTCATCAGTCCAAGACAACACAGGAGTTATTCCTCAGGGACTTTCTTCAAATTGTTCAGGTGACTGCAAGTTCTAATTGTTAGACTCTAATACTTATTCGATACAGGTGCTAATTTTTTTCCATTTCCCCAACTTTGACAATTCATCTTGTATGATGTAGAAAGCAGGGAAAACATTTGAGGTATTAAGTCTTCAGTTGCCTGTTATCAACATCTCATCTCTTAAGGTCTTTTTTGAAGACCATCGAACCTATGCATCGCCTGGATCAGTACGTAGTTCTACCATGTTATCCATAAATGTCTTAACTATAATTTTTCAAGATCTCCCCCCCCCCCCCTCTCGTTTTATTGATACTATTTGTTTGGCTGTATACATGCATTCACATTAGTATGTGCTTTATCCATGCACCGGTACACACTTATACAGAGACCTTCTCCCTCGTTCTTTCTCTCTGGATGACATTGAAAAATGATGCTATCAAGGTATCAGGAGGGGATTCCATAAATATTTGGTTCTGTATGTTATGTATCTAAAACCTGATATGTTTATGTCCTTTTATGAATTTGTCTTTAACTTTTTGTTGTAGTTGGTTAAGAAATAACTTGAAATCAAGTTTCTTGGTGCTGTAAGCATGACCAGAAGTACTAGATAACATTTCACTGGAATTTGTAAAGCGTCTCTTAACATATCAAATATCTTTCATTATTATTATCAATTCTTTCAAGCTTTTCCTAACCTGAATCAGGTTTGTTGGTGTTGTAAGCATCATGAAAAACCCTAATTAACATTGCTCATGTAAACTCTCTTTAAAATATCAAAGTCTTGTATTGCTGCTATCAATTTTTTTTTTAATTATGATTTTCATAGTTACAGTTCTACTGATTCCTCAATGGGAAGACTGTCTGAATTTTGAAAGTTGTTTAGATGATTGGTTATAGTTGATGCTATCTTTCCTTTTAAAAATTTCAGACTAGTGTTAGAGAAAGTGTGTGGCGTTCATTAGAGGAAGACATGGTTCCTTCATTGCCTTCTACCAGGACTAACTGGCTGGAACTACAATCCAATCTTCTGCCAAAAAGATATAAAGAATTGAACATCTGTGTGGCTGGAGGTATGAAGGTGATAGTGTTCTATGTAAAGTTGTGTAAATCTTCTTAAATTATAAAATACATTTTTCTATATGTTAGGAATGAGAATTATCTCTCTTGCATAATTTTTGCATATCTTCAACTCAGGGTTATTCTTTTTATGCACAGCAGCAAATTTATTTTTTGTGCAGAATTTTATTTGGAGGTATACTTTTAATGTGGATTATTAATAGTGCAGTCTTTGGAACTCTCTGTGGCTGACACTTCATGTGGTGTCTGGATTTGAATTTTGTTGATGATTTTCACTCAAATGCTGAGTAATTGAGAGTTTTGTCCTGTCAGGAACAATACTTGCAGTACATGAAGAATGTTTTGAGAGGGCATGTTATTGTTAGATATTAATTTTGATTAAGACTTTGACTCACAATGCATATAAGTTATTAAAAGTTTTGTTTTGTCAGCAATACTTGAAAATTATTTTGAGAGAAAACTTCTAGTTTCTTTGTTACTGGGAACAGGATATATTGGGGGAAAAGGGTTTCAATTGTTTATTTATTATGTAGCGTTCTTAACTGTTACCGGGTACACAAAAAAGAAGGGACTAAGGACCTCATTCTGTTATATTACCAATAGTAGTATAACGTACTTTTATATTCTGCTTGCAGAAGCAATAAAGATTGCTATTGATTTTAAGAACCCCCTGGAAATCCCTATTTCAATCTCTAGTGTTTCTTTGATTTGTGAGCTTTCTGCAATATCAGATGAAACGAAATATGGTGAGTTACAAGCAGTCTCTCTAAATTTTATTTTCCTCTCTTTCTTCTTTTATCAATTTGGATGAGGGTGAATTCATTGAAAAAAAAAGGTGCTTACTATTTTAATGCCGATGTAGATGCAAGTTGCTCAACTGCTGGACTCTGTAATGATGAAGAATGTAACAACTTGAGGTATTTGTCTGAACTTTTTCACTATCTTTTCCTGAATTGTTTGTTTCAAGCCAGTTTCCTCCTATTTTGTTCCTGGATTTGCTGTCATTCTTTTAACTGCTAATTTAGTTTTGCTTAATCATTGCAGAGAGATAATAGCAGACACTTCCTCATTTTCCTTTTCTGAGGTCAACATCTCATTGGGAGGGGGTGAAACCAATTTGGTGAGTGCTTCCTTTGGAGTGTTTAATGAATTTGAAGTGACTTCTAGGTAGTCACGAGGTGGTTTATCCTTCTTTTCTGGTGTGTACAGAAGAGAATTAAGTGCACCAGTCAATTTATGGTGCCTTTGTGCAACTGCATTTCACTGCATGGAGATTGATCTGTGTGCCATTATTTTAATCTTACATCCATATTTGCTAATACCATAAAGATTGACATTGCATTTGTCCTTTTAGTCTGAAATACATGGAGATATAGAGGAGAATGGTAATAATAATTTGGTTTTCACATTGAGCAATTACCACCACTGAATCAGAATTAGGACGTGTTAGAGGATTTGAAATTATAAATGATAGTATCACTAGTCAATTAAATATTAGCGTGTGCAGCTCACTTTAAAAATTCTTTCAGAAATCAAGGTAACAATTGTCTTCTAATTAATAATTTCCAAATATTAACAATAATTGTTCCTTTTTTGGAAAATTTCTTTGAAAAACTTGACCATTTGCATAAGAAGGCAAGAACCAGTAACAACATGTTGAGGCAGGCAAGAACTAGTTACTACTTTCAATGTTTTTATACTTTCGTATCTTTTCTTTAAATACTCATTACATCTCTATATGATTATGAAAGGAATTCAATCTCACTTCTATTTGATGCATTTGTTGATTTACTCAATCTTTCTTTTTCGCTATTAATTCCCTATTAGAAATAAATAGTGTTGCGATTCTTTCTTTTTTATTCAAGAATGAATCATTTTGCAATTCAAAGTATAGTATATTGTACCAAATTCTAATTTTGGATGGAGTCAGTTCTCTTTCTCGGTTTTGAATTTCTTTTGATGACAAATTGGATATGATATTATCTATTGTCCAAAAGTTAGATTATAATATTTTTATGCATTTCTATTTTCTATTAATATTCATACCAATAAAGAATTTGTGTAAGTACTGTAAATACATAATATTAGGTACCATTGGTCTGCCCCCCTCCAAATAATAATAATAATAATAAAATTATCTCATGTTCTGACACTGAGGAAGGCCCGAATCTTTGATTTTTTCTCCCCCCCCCCACTTTTGCTACAGTTTGGTAAAACTTTTGTTGTGTAAACCAAAATGGATCGTGTCCATATGGAAAATAGTTCAAACCAGACTTTAGTAGGGAAAATAATGTAAACCAAAACTTAGTATTTTGATGGTTCTCTGAGTGGAATTTTTCTATTTCCTTATTGAAAGTCCACTTGCTTGCCCTACCTCAATATGTCATCATTACCTGCTTGAGTATTTGCTTGTTGATGAACATATATGCTTTTCTTTGACACAAATATTATCCTGAGATATTTTGTTCAACGGACACCGTCATTTTCGGAAGTTTTGTTTTGACAAATCCTATTTTCCTTTTCAGGTGCAATTAACAGTTACTCCTAAAGTAGAAGGCATTCTTAAAATTGTTGGTATCAGATGGAAATTATCAGGTTCTGTGATTGGTTTCTTCAGCTTTGGGTCCAATACTGTGAAAAAGCAAGTTGCAACGGGAAGAAGGAAAGTTAAGCATTCACCTGGCAATGACCTGAAGTTTATAGTGATTAAGGTGCAGGCACCCTTCCCTCCACATTCCTCGTGTGGTATTTTCATTTTAGATTAAGTTGGAATATCATTTTGTAGTAAATAATATTTCTTTTCCAGAGTCTACCCAAGCTTGAGGGCTCCATTCGTGCTCTACCTGAAAAGGCATATGCAGGACATCTACAGCATCTTGTTTTGGAGTTGAAAAACCAATCAGAATTTTCTGTAAAGGTATTCTTTTTTCCTGTCATTCTAGTGTCCTAGTCAATAATGTTTGCTATTTTTGGGTAACATGCTTCTTGTATTTATGTGACCCTACTGTCTATTGCATTGCAACCTATTGATCTGGCAAATTGAAACATGTTGACCTTCTAAGCCATTGATTGATGATTTCAATGCTTTAATATTATACTTGGTAACTGTTGTGGACCTGCAGCTGTAAAGGTACAGGTCTGGGCCTTGTGAGTAACCAAATCTTCCCTTCCAAGACCACAGTCAACGGTACCCAAAATGGATAGTGGCCGTTTTTTTTTTTTAAAAAAAATTTGTCTTGACTGTTTCTTAAGCTTCTAGACTGCCACAAATTACCTTGGTGACTTTGGGTGAAAGAAAGAATCCAGCTTTTCTGTATGTCAGGCTGTGTTAATTGCTCCTACAAATGCTAGATGCATTAATCCTCGTCTATTCGTAAGATGTATTAACGTATAGGTGGTTTTTTTATTTTTAACTTGGTTTATATTCTTTCTTGCAGAATTTGAAAATGAAAACGAGTCATCCTAGATTCCTAAATATTGGGAATCAAGAAGATTTGAATGTAGAATTTCCTGCATGCTTAGAGAAGAAAACAAATGTTACTGCACATGCTAATCCTAAAAAAATATCTCATGGTGTTTTTCTATTTCCAGAGGTCAGTGTGGAAGTTTGCCTTGTGCATTGCTTTTTGGCACCTAACATAAAATTGCTATCCCGCTGTTTCTAATTATATGCTTGCATTTGCCTTGGTATTTCAGGATTTCTCAGTGCAAGGGGAGAATCCACTATTTTGGCCTCTTTGGTTTCGGGCTGCTGTTCCTGGAAACATCTCCTTGCAAGTGGTAATATACTATGAGATGGGAGATCTATCAAGTGACATGAGATACCGCACTCTACGCATGCATTATAATTTGCAGGTATTTGTTGAATATGGTGGAGATTTGCAGCTTTGTCTTCATGCTTTTTACTATTTATAACTCTGATAATAGCTTGAGACTAGACCAATCTTCTAGAGCTGTCAATATGAAATATTGGATGGGTTTTCTTTCTGATAGTAAGATAAATATTGTCACTGATGGATTTGGGTTAAATTTATACTCGTGCTATATATGTTATTGTCCAGATATTATAATACCGAGACTGTTCTAGTCTGTTATCTGTTGTTAAGAACCAACTACCATTAAGTTGGTGATGCATTTGATTCCTCTTTATTGATCACACACTTTTCACTTAACTAATGTGATTTATTAAAAATCTATTTCAATAGGTACTACCATCACTGGATGTGTCATTTAAAATCAGTCCCTGTCCATCAAGATTGCAAGAGTTCCTTGTGCGCATGGATGTTGTCAACAAAACTAACTCAGAGAGCATCCAGGTTAATCAGCTATCAACCATTGGAAGCCAGTGGGAGATTTCACTGCTTCAACCCATTGATACTATCTTCCCTTCGGAATCTTTAATTGCTGGCCAAGCATTTTCATGTTTCTTCATGCTCAAGGTTGGTACAAGAATCTGCATTTTCAGATTAAGCATTTTTGAAATTTCCATTCCCTTGCCATTTTACCTCTGCCTTTTTCTTGGGGTAAGCATGTTTTTCTTGTCATCGTCTTTTATTTCCTTGTTGTTCTGTTGTTTAGTGTGACACTCCATGTGCTTGCTGCTAAATTGTATATGGATTGTAGATTCGGCTTTTTAACTTCACCTAATTTTATTCTGCATTTTAGTCTTATCACTATTTTTCTTTTTCAGAGTTGTAGGAAATCATCAAGTACCGAAGAAAATACCTCATCTCTCTCCCCTCGCATTGGAAGCAGTGTAAGTTTGGTTCCTGATGGTAGCAAAGAAGCTCCTTTCGATATATCTAGCTCGCCTTTGGCTGATTTCCACGATTGTGAGAGGTTGCAGCATAGAATCTCTGATCAGGTTGGTAATATCCGAATGAGAATTAAATGGGTGACTTTTTCGACATTTTCACTACTACCACCACCTGGACCACCAACACAGCTGCACGGCCACTTTTGTTTTGTCAGAATACTGAAATCACTATTTTGGGCTTCCTTTACAACCTGCAGCAAGTGTCAAGCCATAGGATTTTGTTATTTTGTTTTGGGGCCTCTGGTTTATCAAAGTTGCAAGTAGTCAACAACAATGGTGGTTTTGGTTTATGTTCTATAGTGATCATCTATCTCATTTCCCTGCACTGCCTTTGTTACTTTATTGATCATTTTGAACCTTTTGTTTTTTTATGTATCAGGAAGCTGAAAATACAGTGGACTTTATTTTGATCTCTCGACCACTGAAAAGCAACATTGAGCCCGGAATTTCAGATGCTTATCATGTGTTTTCTCATCATGCATGTCATTGCAGGCAAGAATGTGCAAATTTGTTTCTGGCTTGTAGTAGCTGTCCTGTTTTTTCAGCTTCTATTTTCCAATCATCTATTTGTTAATTATTATTTCCATTTACAGCACTGCAAGCACGAGTCCAATATCATGGGTTGTCCATGGACCTCAAACCAGACATCATGACTTTTCTACTTCATATTGCGAAATAAATTTGAGGATGACTATCTACAATTCATCGAATGCTCTTGCATCTATAGACATCAAGACCCTAGGTACCACCAGTATTGGTGATCCGTCAAGTGATGCAACCGCTGCCACTTCTGGAAACCAAGTTGGATGGCATGATGTGTCTCTATCGAACGACGTTAAAATAGCACCTGATGCACTCAGAACCCATGTTAGAAAGTCACTATCATCAGAAAGTGTCTCTCCATTCATTTGGTCTGGCTCAAGCTCAACCAGAGTCCAACTCAAGCCACTGTCCTCAACCGAAATTCCTCTTCAGATTTGTGTATTCTCCCCTGGGACTTATGATCTGTCAAATTATGTTTTGAATTGGAATCTTCAGCCAGTTAATGGTCATAAAAATGTAGGGGACAGAATACAGTCTTCAGGGACAATCTCGGGATATCCAAACTATCTTACTGTTCTCCCGTCAGACTGAATCGGGTTTGCGTGCCTGGCTCTGTTCTTAGGTGTCACATTGAGGGTCCCAATTGTAGTTATTTTGTAACTTTGGCTTGTAAATTATTCCATCGTTGTATTTGTTATCTTTTTTTTTTTCCCTTCATAAAATAAGAATAGAAAACCGGAATCAGTCGATTAGTCATGTAAGAAACAAGCCACATTCTTTTTGTCATTGGAATAATAGAGGTGATGAGGATGGGAAACGGTTGGACTGGTGTCTTCTTACATTTTTGTAATTTATAAATTTATACTGCTTAAAAATAGAGAAATTAGACAATTAAAAAAAAAAAAGATTAGATAGATCAATCTATTTTTATATAATAACTAAGTCTCTTGTTTGTTTATAGGTTTTTAATTGCATTTTTTCGTGTTTTTGAAAATTATTGAAATGTTCTATTTATTTTTTCGATTAAAAGTCATATGATAATGATGTTTTATTTTTAAAGCCTTTAGAATTTTATTTTATTTTTATTTTTTCATTTCAATTAGAGATGTTTTTGTTAAAAATTTTTTATGGCTAGAAAAATTGATTAAAAAGACAGATTTGTTATGAAATAATGAATGTTCATCATCATGTTCATCCATTTTTTATATCCTTATTACTCATGATTCTTAATATGATTTAATTGATCATTCAATATAAGAAATTGAAAGGGTGATGTAATTGATTATTCATAGTCCCTCCCAATTCTCTTCTTAATTTTGAAGCTTATAAATAGGCTTGATTATTCATTAGTTGGGGTACAAGTTTTCTATAGAGAATAAGAAAAACTTTGAAGTTCTTATCACTTGTATCCACATTATAATGATTTTATTTTCTTTTCATCCCTTTTTTTAATTCTCCTATTATTTCTATTTATTTTATAACATATTATCAACACGAAGTTTTAACCAATTGAGATAATAGACCATGAGGTATGTATCTACTAAAAGATTTAATCAATTGTTTCAATAATTGGATTTCTTCTACACAAGTGCTCTACCAAAAGATCTAAATTATTTAAATCATTAAGAGGTATGTATCTAATTTATTCATATAATTTAAATCTATTGATACATGAAATATATATTTGAAAAACTTAAATGATCTACTCGATGATCTAATATATGTTATTTGAAAAGTTTTAATTTTATTATTATATTTATTCTTATTTTCTAATATTATTATTATATATTGTATTATAGAATTTTTATCATACCAAACATCATAAACTTGATTTGATGACTCTTAATATTTTGAATAAGAATTATTGATTATGAGTGCTTGATTTTGAAAAAATATTCTCTACTTTTTATGTCTTGGATATGCTCCTGCTCGTAGTATATTGAGAAAGAGTTTAAGAAATATTTTGGATCGATTTTATACTTGTTAGTGGCTAAATAAAATGAAAAAGAATAAATCTCATCCAATTGGATCTATTCCATTCCCCGAAGTGAATGTGACAATTTATAATGATTTTAGACATAGATGAAGATATGGTTATAGCCATGAATATGATTGAAATAATTATCATTATAATCGTAATGACCATAATATTACATCTCACCACTAGAAATGGATAACTTTGAAAAAAAGAAATAAAAATAGATAAAGTGAGTATTCTGAAAAATAAATATTATAAAAATGGAATGAATGAATATTGATCGTGTACCTATTGTATACCAAAGCACCTCATTGAGGCTTGTCAAGCTTTATTGAAAAATAAAGAATAAAATATGAAGGCCACTTTAATATATCAAAGTAATAGTTATTGAAATTAATTACTTGTTATTTTTTCTATTTATAAATAAAATGTTTTATATTTCTTATAATTTATGTCGTATATTGATGGTTACAAATTTATTTTATTATTTATTTGTGTTTATGAGGAATATATTGATTTATTTATTTTGTATTGATTTATTTGATTATTTATTTTATGTTAATATTATATATGATAATATCAATCTAATAGAAAGCTCTAGAAGAGCGATTACATCATGACTTAAAGAGATAAATTTTTGAAGCTCTAAAAGAGTGAATAAATTATTACTTGAAGAGAAAATGTTTAAAGGCTCTAGAAGAGTCAATATATTATTGCTTGAAGTGACTAATTTAAAGACTCCGGAAGAGCAAATATGTTATTATCCGAAAGGATAAATTTATTATGAATGATGTACTATTCTTTTCAAAGTCTCATAGAAATTTGTTGAGTTTCAAAAATATTCATCCGAATTGGTATCATATCAAGATAGCAAATGTGAATACTTATATGTTATAATCATTATATCGGTAGAAAATATCTATAAAAAATTTATCCGTTTTCTCTTCTAGTATTTATTACAAACATTGAAATGATTGAAACAAATATTGTAGTAAACCGAAGTTTACTAATTCAAATACTTTTACTATGTGACATGACCGAGTTGTGTTATTTTAGGTCTTTCATTATGCGAAAAAATTATTAAAAAATTTATATGAATATTTATTGAAGAGCCGAAGGTTCTTCAATTTAATAAACTTTCATGTTCTGCATGTTACCAAGGCAAATTGATGATTAAACCATCATCAAGTAAAATTGAGATTGAATCTCTAGTATTTTAGAATGTATTCAAGGTGATATATGTGGATCAATTCATCTACCATGTGGACCATTTAAATATTTTACGATTTTGATAAATGCATCCACAATATGATCACATATATGCTTATTATCTACTCGAAACTTGACGTTTTCGAGATTGCTAGCAAATTTGATTTTGAGCATAATTTTCATATTATGCCATTAAAATAAGTCACCTTGATAATGCTCGATGAATTTATTTCTCAAGCATTAAATTATAATTGATTGGCTATTAGAATAAAGGTTGAATAGCACTGTTGCTCGTGTTTATACTCGGAAAGGTTTAGTAAAATTATTTATCAAAAGGGTCCAATTGATAGCTAAATCATTATTTAAAAATAAAACTCCCTGTTTATGTCGGGAGACATGCAATCTTACATGCAGCGAACACTTATTTGCATCGGACCCATAAGTTATCGAAATTCTCTCTTCTTCGATTGATTTATGATCATGAGCCAAATATTTCTTATTTAAGAATTTTTTGACATTGTAGTATATATCCTTGGTGCTCCTTCATAAGGAAATAAAACGAGCACTTAAAGGAGATTGAGAATATATATTGGATTTGAATCCTTTTTGATAATTAAATATATTGAATAATGAATAAGCGATATTTTTACGAGCTTGATTTATTGATCGTCATTTTGATGAAACATTTTTTTCAACATTAGGGGGAGAGAATAAATAAGATAAGCGATTAGAAATGTTGAAAAAAAGATATTACATAGAGTACTATATCTTTATATCAATTTGGTACAAAATAATATGAACTAGAAGTTTAAAAGATAATTCATTTACAAGATATTACAAACCAACTGCTAGATGCATGTTAAATATATATTACGTTATATTCGAGGAATAATTGATATAGGCTTATATTACTCCAATAAATCAAAGACAAGATTAATTGGTTATGCGGATGTAAGTTATTTATCTAATCTACATAAAGCTTGATCACAATCGGTTATATATTTACATATGGAGATCTAGCTATATCTTTGTGTTCTATAAAGCTAACTATAGCTACCACATCTTCAAATCATGTAGAAACATCAATTCACGAGGCAAGTTGAGAATGTGTTTGGCTAAAATCAATGATTCATCGTATCCGAGAGACATGCGGTTTATCTATCAGCAAAAGAAGTTCCAACAATATCATATGAGGATAATGTCTGCTGGCATAATTTCATTGAAAGAAGAATACATTAAAGTGACAATCCAAGTAAATTTATTCGCTAAAGCATTGCCTACCATAACTTTTGAGAAGATGATTCACAAGATTGAAATGTGTCTTCTTAGAAATCTTAAATAATGCTTTCAACATGGGGAGACCAAAATGAGGATTAATGTGTGCAAGGAATATTATACTCTTTTTTCTTCACTAGGATTTTTTTCCCACTCGGGTTTTTTCCTAGTAAGGTTTTAACGAGGCATATTCCTTGTACAATGGACATTCAATGGGGAGTGTTATGAAATAATAAATGTCCATCATCATGTTCATCCATTTTTCATATCCCCACTACTCATGATTCATAATATGATTCAATTCATCATTCAATATAAGAAATTGAAAGGGTGATGCACTTGATTATTCATAGTCCCTCTCAATTCTCTCCTTAATTTTGAAGCCTATAAATAGGCTTGATTGTTCATTAGTTGGGGTACAAGTTTTATAGAGAGAAAATAGAAACTTTGAAGTTCTTATCACTTGTATCCACATTATAATGATTTCATTTTCTTGTCATCCTTTCCTTTAATTCTCCTATTATTTCTATTTATTTTAAAATATTTTAAAATATTTTACAAATAAATAGGAAGCAATTAAAAACACATAAATATATGAAAGAATTTGAATATTGTATAATAACATTTAAAAAAAATATATGATTTGATTTATTTCCAATTTAAAGTTTTTAAAGAATCCTTTTACGTAACCTAATTGTATTATGCCTCCAAATTTTATTAAACTTATGTAACTTTTTTGTTATTTTTCACACTCTTCTAATAACTTGTCTATTTATTATGACGAAATTTTTTTTAAAAAATGGAAAGGCAACAATGTTACTTGGATCTATCATTTTCCAGCTCTCCATGGTACTAATAGGTATAGGAGCCTATTAGATTAAATTCTATTCAATTTCAAGAAGTCTAACCGTCATTGTTTAATATATTTAAAAGTTTACACAGATTTATCGGTAGAAATGGCAATGGGGCGGGGATGGCCACTCTCGAAAAACTCCATGATGTCCCCGTTCTATGGGGTAATGGGGATATCTCGTGAGGAATTGGTGCCCCGTTTAATTTTTTGTGCCCACCTTGTTCCGTTATACCTCATATTATCTTATACTAAATTTTAAAATATAGCAAAAAGATAACGAGTGCACATAAAAAATATAATTAAGAAAAACAATAATTTATCATATTCAACTACAAAACACAACTAAAAATACATTAAATTATTTTTAATCGAACAAATAATATACTTAATTAAGTTGATGAAGTATTACAAATGCAATTAAAAAACATAAATTTTTGAGTGTCTTTATTGTTTAAAGATTATCAAAATTCACTAATTATATTGGAGACTAATTTGTAATCTCGGAGTGTGTGTATATATATATATATATATATATATATATATAATTGTAATTTTCAAAGGAAAAGGCGAGGATAATGGGGATCTCGCGAGGCATTGGTGCCTCGCTTAATTTTTTACGTCCACCTTGTTCCATTATACCTCATATTATCTTATATCAAATTTTAAGCTATAGCAAAAATATAATAGTACACATAAAAAATACAATTAAGAAAGACAATAATTTAACATCACATTCAACTACAAAACACAACTCAAAATATATTAAATTGTTTTTAATTGAACAAATAAAATACTTAATTAAGTTGATGAAGTATCACAAATGTAATTAAAAAACATAAAATTTTGCATGTCTTTATTGCTTAGAGATTATCAAAATTTACTAATTATATTGGAGACTAATTTATAGACTTAGTGTGTGTGTGTATATATATATTGGTATAATTGTAAGTTTCAAAGGAAAGGACTTGGATAGGACCGGGCAAGGAATGGTAGGGCGGAGATGGTTGGGGTCGGCAAATATTATCCTTACTCTATTACCGTGTTCCTTAGTCAACTCGGGGAATCTCTGCATTGATTGAGGTGGGGAGGCTGGGGATCCGCTAGGGTGGGATAAATTGTTATCCTTATTTATAGAATTATAGGAACAAAGTGCAAGGAGAAAAAGGAAAAGAGAAAAAACTCAAATTTGTGTTTAGCTACGATGATCAAAGATCAGGAAAAAAAAAAAAAAACTTATTCCAGATCCTGTCTCAACGAAATACTGAAAAATACTTCATTACCATTTTAAATGAAAGCAAAGTTGAGAGAAAAGGATGAAGGTCGGTTTTGTCATTTTAATCTGAAAAAACAGATTGAGGCTGTTTGTTATTAGGAACATTCAAAATTTCCAACGACCGTTGGGTTAGAGGGCGCCACCGCCTTTACAAGCCCAGCATAAATATTTACGCGCTCTGAGTTGCTGTTCTCCTCGTTCTAATTTCTCCTTTGCTACGATTAGGGTTTAATCTTGTATCTCTCACTTACTGCTAATTTCCTCTTTCTTTCTTTCTTTTCGTTACCACCAAAACTCTTAATCTGCTCTCTCTCTCTCTTTCATCCCATTTGTTTTCCTCTGTCCCTCTGTTGGCTTTCTCTCTTTCTGCAAACCATGGATTCTTCTTCTTCTTCTTCTTCTACTACTACCACTACAAGAATGTTTCATACGCGAAGCGTACTTCAAGAAATCGCTCAACGGAAAAGATCGTATGAAAATGTGAGTGAACATAAAAAAGCATTTAATTATACGGTTCCTTTTCTTTTGTTAGATTTCTTTATTCTGGTTCTTGTGTTGTGATTTTTAACCAACTGTTAGGTGCGTTGAGAATTAGGGTTAGGCTTTTCATGTTTTGTGTGATTCTGTATGTGGGTTTCTTTGTGCCTATCTGTTTGATAAATTGTTTCAAAGAAAGAAGGGATTCTGGGTTTAATCGATTTATAATGTCACTAGAGATTGTCAAATAACCGTTTTGGGTTTTCTAACAATTTGTTGTATTATTTGAGGATATTCTATCAAGTTCAAGATTAATAAATTATACATTTGCAAAATATTATATTCGTTTTGAGTTCTAATTTAGTTTTTCTTGTTCTGGACAGTTGGATAGATTTATACCAAATAGATCAGCTATAGACATGGATTATGCACATTACATGCTGACTGAAGGGAGGAAAGCCAAAAGAATCCACCTCCACAATCGCTATACCAGAAGCTTTTGGCAGAGGCGTTCAATATGAACAGAAGCCGAATATTAGCCTTCAAGAACAAACCATCCACCCCGGTCGACCTAATCCCCCATTTTTCATCATCATCTGTTCATCCCTCTAAACCTGTCAAGCCCCAGCGACCCATTCCTCAGGTTTGTGCCTATGCTCATCCTTTTTATGCTGAATTTAGAATCATGGGTTTGGATTTTAATAGCATAAGTTGGTAGGGAGTTTTAGAGTTTATGGATTTAGTTGCTGATTGTTTCTGTTACTTGCGATATTCTGTTTCTGAATAATTTCTTGTCTAAATTTATTGGAGGTTTGCAATTGATTTTGCAGAGACCAGAGATGACATTGGATGCCCCTTATATGGTGGATGATTTCTACTTGAATTTGCTAGATTGGAGTAGCAGCAATGTGCTTGCAATAGCTCTTGGAAGCACTGTGTTTCTTTGGAATGCTTCAAATGGTTCTATCTCAGAACTATTCACTGTTGACGAGGAAGATGGTCCTGTCACTAGCGTTAGCTGGGCACCTGATGGACGTCACCTTGCTGTAGGCTTGGACAATTCAAATGTCCAGTTATGGGACTCTGCAACTGATCAAATGGTTTGTACTCTCTTCTATTTACTTTGGCCGTCTTTTATTTGTTTTTAAGTAGTGATATAATCTGACTGATGATTTCTTTTTAATGTGTCATTCATGCAGCTAAGAACACTCAAAGGAGGTCATCGATTGCGAGTAACTTCACTGGCCTGGAATCATCACATACTTACAACTGGAGGAAAGGATGCTAAAGCCATCAACAATGACGTGAGAATAAGAGAACACATTGTTGAAACATACAGCGGACACCAGCAGGAAGTTTGTGGACTGAAATGGTCAAATTCGGGCCAGCAATTAGCAAGTGGAGGGAATGATAACCTTCTTTTCATATGGGATAGATCTATGGCCTCTTCAAATTTACCGACATATTGGCTTCACAAGCTTGAAGACCACACAGCAGCTGTGAAAGCCCTTGCTTGGTGTCCCTTCCAGAGCAATCTGCTAGCCTCGGGTGGAGGTGGAAATGATAGGCGCATTAAATTTTGGAACACCCACACTGGCGCATGCTTGAACTCAGTGGACACCGGCTCACAGGTTTGTGCTCTTCAGTGGAATAAGCATGAGCCGGAATTGCTTAGCTCCCATGGGTTTACAGAGAACCAACTCATTCTATGGAAATATCCATCCATGGTAAAGATGGCAGAACTCAGTGGTCACACTTCTCCAGTCCTCTTTATGACTCAGGTATTGATAATGAACTGATTTTAAATCATAGATTTCTATTACAAATTTATGCAGCCAGTTAAAATTTGAAATTCTGATCATGTTGATTCAAATCTTCTTTATTACTGTTTTTCTTCAGAGCCCAAATGGATACGCAGTGGCATCTGCAGCAGGTGATGAAACATTGAAATTTTGGAATGTGTTTGGGAACCCACAAGTGGCTAAACCTGTGCCAAAAGCTAATGCTGTACCATTTGCTAATGTATCCCACTTCCGTTAAGATCGTGCAAAAGCAGTGATAATTTGTTATGTTGGACCAGGCAGACAACATTCCTTATCGGGTTGAAGAAGGTTAACTACAATATCCTGTAGAATTACTTTCCTTTTTGTCAATAATCATAAGGCAGAAGTCAAACTAACAGTACAGCAATTACAGAGCAAATTTGAGTTGCAGAAACAGTTGATTGCCCATGTGGAAGTAAATACAGCAAGAATGTCATGATAGGGCTTGTACCTGTCACATAGATTTAACTAGTCCAATTCGCAATGTATATTTTGTTTGGAGTAATTAAATAAAATTATGAGATACTTTTCTTAAGTATTGGACATTTGCAACTGGTGCATCATGGAATCACCCTTAGCAAATTTTATATTTACTGCAGAACTTTTGGTTTGCGAAATGGTTTTTGTTTCAGATTTGTTAATCTTGGTATCTTTGCCTGTCCTCCCTATGCTATTTATTGCTGTACTGGTACTGTTATATTTTCCTTTTTAGATGCATTTGGACGACCTACTTGTGTGAGCGACCCACTGTTTTCTTTTTCCTGGGTTTAAAGTTGTCCATCCTCCAAAGCCAAATAACCACAAGTAGACTCTGATATTTCAGTTCAGTACACTTATACTTTTATCTGAAGAGCCTCATCTTGTTGTATTATTAGTAGTGGTGTAACATGCTTTTATATTGTGTTTGCAGAAGCAATAAATATGGATATTGAATTTGAGAATATCAAGCAATTCCCTATATCAATCTCCAGTGTTTCTTCTATAAGTGAGCTTTCTGCAACATCAGATGAAATGAAATCTGGTGAGTCACAATCAGTCTCTCTCAATTTTATTTCCTTCTCTTTCCTCTTTGTCAATTTTTATAAGGGTTAATTCATTGAAAAAAATAAAAAATTGGATGATTGCTGTCGGCGAGATGTAAGTTGCTCAACTGCTGGACTCTGGAATGTAAAAACCTTCGTATGTACGTGGACTTGTTCATTATCATTTCCTAACTAGTTTGTTTTCAAGTCCTCTTATTGTGCTTCTGACTGTGTTGTTCTTACAACTGCTGATATTTGCGAATAGATAATATCAAACACTAACTCATTTTCCTTGTCTGAGGTCAACTTCTCATTGAAAGGGGGTGGAACCAATTTTGTGAGTGCTTCTTGCATGTGTTGAATGAATTTGAAGTGACTTGCTAGGTAGTGATTGACATTGCATTTGTTCTATATGTAGTAAATGGGGATTTAGAGAGAACAAAAGTAATTTACTTGGTTTTCACATCAAGAAATTACCACCACTGGATAAGAGTTAGGATATGTGGTAGAGGGGAATGTGAATCTATGAAATGTTAGTGTCTCTGGTCCATTAAATATTAGCTTGTTCAGCTGACTTGAGATTCTTGTGGAAACCAAGTTAAGAGATGTGTCCTAATTAATAATTTCCAAGTGATTCTTTTTTTCTTTTATGCAAAATTTATTTGAAAACTTGGCCATTTGCAGAAGAAGGCAAGAAGTAGTATGGAGATGTAGAGGCAGGCCCAAATATTTCAGGTTTTTCTTCTCACACACTGTCTTACACTTCCTGCAATGAAAGGATGCTGCAGATTGGTCGATAAATACATGGATTCTCTGTTATAGGTAGTCCATACGGAAAATAGTGCAAACCAAAACTTAGTATTTTTGACATTTCTCCTTGTGGATATTTTCTATTCCTCACTTGACAGTACCTAAATTGGACAGTGGTTTGTTTTTTTTTTTAAAAAAAAACAGTTATGTTTGGTACTGTTGCTTAAGCTGCTAGGGTTTCTCAAGTTACTTGAGTGGTTTTGGGTGACAAATAGAAGCCAGCTTGTCTATATGTCAGGCTGTGTCAACTTCTCCTGCAAATGCAAGTGTAATCTGTGTAGTAAGATGCGTTGATCTATGGAATTTTTTTTTTTTTTGTTGACTTCGTTTGTAGCCTTTCTAGGCCGAATTTGAAATTGAAGGCCGGTCATCCTAGATTCCAAAATATTGGGAATCAAGAAGACAATTGTAAGTGGAGCTGCTAATCCTATGAAGGTATCTCCTGGTGTTTTTTTAATTTCCAGAGGTCAGTGTGGAAGTTTACCTTGTGCATTGATTTGTGGCACTCAGCATAACATTGGTATCCGTTCTTTTTAGTTACATGCTTGCATTTTCCTTGGTATTTCAGAATCTGTTATTACAAGGGGAAAAAACCCCTATTGTATGCAGCCTCTTTGATTTCAGGCTGCTGTTCCTGGAAATATCTCCTTGCCATCAGTGATATACTATGAGATGGGAGATCTATCAATTGGCATAAGACACTGCACTCTATGCATGCATTATAATTTGCTGGTATGTCTTTGAATATGATGGAGCTTCATTTCATGCTTTTGTCTACTTATAATCCCAATTATAGCTGTAGATTAGACCAACCTTGTGGAGCTATCAATGTGAATTTTGAATGTGTTTTCTTTCTTATGGAAAGATAGATATCATCATGGATGGAAGCAGAATATTTCTACTTGTGCTATATATGTTATTGACCAGATATTAAACACTGAGGCTATTCCTTGTCTTTTTCTGTTGTGAAGAACCGACTATTGTTGGTTTGGTGATGCATGCAATCCTCTTCGTCGATAAACATTTTCCACTTTACTAATGTGACTTAGGAAAAGTCTTTTTTGATAGGTAATGGCGTCATTGGATGTGTCATTTAAAATCTTTCCCTGTCCATCACGTTTGCAATAGTTCTGTGTAAGCATGGAGGTCGTCAACAAAAGTAGCTCATAGAGTGTCCAGGTTAATCAGTTATTGGAATCCAGTGGAAAATTTCGCTGCTTCAACCTCTTGATATGATCTTCCCTCTGCAATTTTATTTGTTGGTGAAGCATTTCCATGTTTCTTTCTTCATGCTCATGGTTGGTACAAGAATCTGCACCTTTTCAGGTTAGGCAATTAGATGGTATTCTTTTTTTGTGACCTCAATTCCTATTTTTTTGGTAGGTTCTAATGCTTCGTGCTGCTGCTTACAGGATAAGTGTTGAGGTCCCTACGTCGAATTTTAGTGATACTTTAGCCTTGGCATCTGGGCTCGGGCTTTAAGCTTCGCCTCATTCATGTGTTTCATCAATGCACAGTGCTATTGTTCATGATTTGGATTCTCTGAGTAAAGCCTAGAATCTTTAACATTTTATCCCTTACAAATTCATTTTCATTTTATATTCTGCTCTGTGATCTTATCAATTAAATTATTCTCTCTCTTCAGAGTTGTCGTATTTAATACTGAAGAAAGCATCTCATTTCTTTCACCTTGCATTGAAAGTGATGCTTTCGTTCCTCGAGGTAGCAAAGAGCTTCTTTTGATATATCTAACTTGCCTTGGCTTATTTCCATGATTGTGAACGATCACAGCATGGAATGTCTAATCATGTTTGTAATATTTGTAGGACAATTAAATGTCGTGATTATTTCTTTACTGTCATCAATTTTCACCATTATCACCACTCAAGTCACATGTTTTTTGGATCATCTAACTTTTGAATCATCATTCTTGCTTTTTTTTTTTTTTTTTAACAATGTTTTTTGGGCACTCTGGCCTGAGTGGAACTGTATTAAAGAAGGGCCAATAAGAAATGTGTTAGGGTAAATTTTTAAAAAAACGTTATAGAATAATAATTGTATCTTTTGGGAGGCAAAATGCAGATTTTCTACGTATGAGTCTTAAATTCAAAGGTAGATTTAAGAAGTCCCAAAACTTTTAGGACTAAATTGAGATTTTTTCCAAACTTGGGGGTGCAATGGCTCTTCTATCCATAACTAGCGTGGTTACTGATTTCGCCTCTGAGAACTTTGTTCGTTCAAATATGTATGTGGCAACAATAACGGTGCTTAACTATTGTTTATGGTTGGTTGAGATCATTCATCTCTTTTGCTTGTATTGCCGTTGTTGCTTTATTTTATTCATTTTTTTTACCCATGTATCAGGAAGCCGAGGATGCATTAGACTTCATTCCAATCTCCCGGCCGCGTAAAAGAAACGTTGGCCCTGGAGTTTCAGGCGTACATCATGTCTTTTCTAGTTATGCATGTCGTTTCAGGTAAGATCATACAAACGTGTTTCTGGATGTGAATTTGTTAATTATCATTTCCTTTTACAGCACTGCGGGCACATCCTTTTCGTCCTTGGAAATATTGGGGGAAACGAAAAAGAGTCTCGTTTCTCTAGTCTCACCAATAAGCACCGAGCATGGCTATATGTTGGGTGGGCCTGCCTTTTGTACTTTTTTTGTTTTTTTTTAATGCTCTAATGAGTTATAAATGTTAGGTTGATGAGTTGAATGCAGGAGGTGGATTAATGATAAAACTTAGGATCTCTTGTCCATCAGATTTTTGGTTCAACATTCCTCAACCTATTCTTGTAGTCTTCGTATTGTCAAAACTTGTCACACTGCACATGGCCCATCTCATACTAGAGCATGAAACATATATATATATATATATAATTGCCTGTATTGTTCATCCAAAACCAACGCCCTTAGCTCGCATCTAAGACAAGATAATTGAGAAACTTGGCTGCTGCTTTATATACATGCGTACATATCAAACTTTTCTTCCGAAGATTATTGGCAGTAAATAGATTATCTATGGTCTTGGTTAAATTATTTTTCTGACTAATTGTACTACCTAGTAGATTGCCACAGTGTATTAATTAAGAATTAGAATCAGGAAAAATATTCTGAATGAAACTTTTTGTTTTGCTTTGTTTTTTAAGAAAATTTAGAAATACAATGTGCTGATTTTTTTTTCCCCCTTCCGCTTGTAGTGTAACTTTTTGGAATTTCGGGTTTAGGTCTTGAGTGACTTCTAGTAACCTCGTTAGCTTGTGAATGTATAAAACCAAAACTAAGGAAATCATTTAATGTTTGTCCTCCAAAAATAAAACTTACTAAAGGAAACATTATTGGATTTAGCGTTACTTCTTCTTTATACTTTGTTATTTATTATTATAAGGAAACTCTTTTTTTTCTTTTTTCAAAACAAAAAAAAAAAAACAATTTATGACGGCATTGTTTAGTGATATATAATATATATACTAGAAAAATTATTAATATTATTATGTGCAATAAATAAAATTTTGAAACATTTAGGATTTGATTGATAAGATTTATAGATTGGGATGTAATTGAGAATAGATATATAGATCGTGCACTAAATTAAAGTTTTGTCTTTGTCTTTTTCATAAACCAAACACTACTTAATATAACCCTAGCGATTAGTCAATTCAAGGATTCAATCGCGTAATCTTTGACAACAGTAAATAAGGAACTTGATCTTTTTTTAAAAAAATAAAAAAGCAGGAAATTTTGGCGTTTTTCTTCCCACACCTATCAATTTTTTGTTTTGTATTAGTTTTCCTTGAACAAAAGAAAGCAAATGTCATGGTGGGGTGCAATGTAAATGGGGAACGCAATATAGCCCTTTCCCATGTACCTGTCCAGAAAAAAGCAAATCAATCTTAACCCAGTGGAGGTAGCACTGTAGCCGTGTAAGTATATCTATATATATATATATGTATGTATTTTGCCTCATTTCTGCTTCCAACCTGTTTCTAATCAACATAATCAAACAATATAATTTCATTTTTTATTATTATAGAGACATATTATTTAAATGATTTATTATATTATTATTTTTATGTATAAAAAAAATGAGTCATGTTAAACATTAAAAAAAAAGTTATATGACAAAACAAAACTCAAAGAATAAACATAAAAGTTAGATTAGTGTGACCTATAATTTGATCCCACTTTAATATAATGATCCAATATCTCTTGTATATTATTGAATTTTTTTTTGTTATGTATATATTTTTTAAAATTAATATTTGGCATTATTAAAAAAAAAAATTATTGGAGTACCATTTGTTTAAGTGAGTTATGAGCTCATGTAATAATTTTATGAAGACATCCAGTTATTTTTTTTATTTTAATCTGTAGAAAGACTTAAATTAGAGTTTGTTTAATGCATGGGATTAAAACTACAATTCATCCACTTCTTAGACAAAATGTTGCACTTTATAGTCAATCTTGATGGGGGAAAAAAATCTTGAGGTAATTCAAAAAAACTCATCCTGCTTTTACCAGCCACGTTATCTATACAAATTAAGCCCCCCTTAATTTTCAATATCAAATCGAAACAAAAAAAGAAAAAAATCTGGAAAACATTTGTATCTAACTTTCAAATCCAATTCCTTCCAACTTATTTGAATCCAAAATGAATCAATTGTGTAGGAAAGAGCATCTAGAGAGAGAGAGAGAGAGATAAGTACAAATCAGTACGACCAAGTCTCCTCTTTACATAAAAAAACCCAACTTTCCCACCCTCATTTAAAACTCAAAAAACCCCACACGTTTTGTACCTGTCAATCTTCAATTCCTTTTTTTAAACCCTTTACTCGGTATTAGAACTCTTCTTTCTTTGTTTTGATGCACCTTACTGGTCTTGATCTTTCCTTTTTCCCTTTCCAGGAAAGTTACCTACAAAGAAAATTCCAACAGGCATAACCCCTTCCTTACTCCATGTCTACATCGTTAATAAAATGATTGACTTCTACATATATGTATGATATATCCATCGCCTTCTTCTCTCCCTTCAAAAAACAAAGAGCGGAAAGAGCTGTTCAACTTGAACCAGCAACCTTTTGACTAGTCCCTCCCTTCCCCAGCCAGCCAGCCATCCATCCATCCAACAATATATCCATACCCATAAAAACCTTCTGCAAAACCCATTTTCTCTATGCAAATTTCTCTGTCCCTCTCATATTGATATCTTGAATCTATAAGAATCTTGGAATTCTCTCTGTAAAACATGAACGATCTCTTTTCCGGCTCCTTCTCTCGCTTTCGCAGCGAAGCAGCCTCCCCAGATCACCATGTAATTCAGATGTCCGAAGCGCCATCCGCCGGCGGGGTTAACCTTGACAGATTTTTTGAAGATGTAGAGTCGATCAAAGATGAGCTGAAAGAGCTAGAGAGGCTTAATGAGAATCTTCAGTCTTCACATGAGCAAAGTAAGACTCTGCACAACGCTAGGGCTGTCAAGGACTTGAGGTCCAAGATGGATGCTGATGTTGCTCTGGCGTTGAAGAAGGCAAAGCTGATCAAGGTCCGGCTAGAGGCCTTGGACCGGTCTAATGCAGCGAACCGGAGTCTTCCTGGGTGTGGACCGGGGTCTTCTTCGGATAGAACTAGGACTTCGGTGGTGAATGGGTTGAGGAAGAAGTTGAAGGATTTGATGGAGAGTTTTAATGGGTTGAGACAGAAGATATCGACGGAGTATAGAGAGACGGTACAGAGGAGGTATTTTACTGTGACTGGTGAAAATCCTGAAGAGAAGACCATTGATATGTTGATCTCTACAGGTTAGTGATTGATCTTGATTCATTTTTGGTTTCTGATCAATTTTGGAATTTGATAGAAGAATCTAAAAGCGTTGACTTTAGATATGTGGCTAAAGAAACAAAATTGATTTTTACCCCTTTTTTTCTCTCTCTTGATATAAAATTGATTTCTAATAATTGGAACGAGTTATAATTTAGACAGTTGTTCACTCATATGGAAGAAAACATTGTTTGCCCATCTCATGTAGGTTGATAGCCTTTTCCATTTGTAAATACAAACTCTATTTGAAAATTTTCTCAATTAGTTTTGTCTTTGGTGTTCATGGAATTTGATTTTAGCAATACGGGGCGGCACTAAATTACTTTAGCAGCTAGTTAATGGAGTCCATTCAGATAAAATTTCAGTGCTTTTTGGGAGTTTGAATTCAAGAACTTAAAGAATGAGATGAATTTGTTGCGTTTGTCTAATGGATTGAGAATTTTGGTACCATACAGGTGAGAGCGAGACATTTCTCCAGAAAGCAATTCAACAACAGGGGAGAGGCAGGGTATTGGACACTATAAATGAAATTCAGGAAAGGCATGATGCTGTGAAAGATTTGGAAAACAATCTAAGGGAGCTCCACCAAGTGTTTACGGACATGGCAGTATTGGTTCAACATCAAGGTGAACAATTGGATGACATTCAGAGCAATGTGGAAAGAGCTAATTCTTTCGTGCGGGGAGGCACCCAGCAGCTGGGTACAGCCAGGAAACTGCAGAAAAATACCAGGAAATGGACTTGTTATGCCATTATTATATTGCTGGTCATCATCTTATTCGTGGTGCTATTCACTGTGAGGCCATGGGAGAACAAGAAGTGATGTTGTCTGGGATTGATGTGCTACAAATGTCAAGACTACACACTTCTTGCTGCTATGCGTTTTAGTTTCTTTTGTTTTAGCTTGATACATTGAGCATTTATTCTTCTTCTTCTTTTTCTGTTTAATTTATTATTATTATTTTTTTTTTTTTTGCTTTTGGGAGTTGAATTTTGATGGGGTGGGGTGTGATGTTTAGGGGCCAGTTTCTAGCAGATGATTAGAGCCAGTGATGGGCAATCGTAGGAAATCGTGGGCAATTTATGTGAGTGAGTACATCCCGGTTGAAAATGCCATGGATTCCTTTTTGGGTCTTGACATATATATGTAGAGACACGCACCCTCTTTTGTATTTAGATTCTTTTTCTGTAACTAATATTTTGGATTTTAGTTTTACGAATCTTCTCTTCTTCTTGGCATTTTATACGCGTTTTGTTGATCAAGAGCCATATATGCCTCTTACATGGAAGTAACTGGCTATAGAAAAATGTTCTTGACGTCATTGCATTCAAATTTATTCTATGATGTGGCAACTTGTTGTCAAAGGTGGCTTGGCTTGTGAATTGTAATCTTCTGCTTCAACAAAGGTGGCTTCGGAGTTTCAACGAGTCCCACTTGGCAACATGGGACTTTGATTAAATAAAGAAATGAAATTGGAAAAGATAAAACAAAAGAACATTTGCACAAGGTCAACAATATTTATTTAGGACTTCCAGGCCTATAGTTAAAAAGAAACAAAAAATTAAATTGCACCCTACTTGTAATTAAAAATGAGTTTCTATGAGTTTTCAAATAAAACAGTTAGAAAAAAGAGAGAGTATATGCATAGATATAAATTCTAAAACAAAAAACTGTGTATAAAATAAAGTTTATAAAGAAAAAAAAAGACAAAAAGAGAACGTGCTGACACGAATAAAAATCGTAAATAAAGAATATTTTATTATAAATAAATAACTAAATAGCAGAATTATTTTAATTACAAGAATTTTGTGTTAAATAATAATATCCGTATGAGTAATTTGATTTTTAATCAAATATTAATTTGTTATTAATTTTGACATTGACAAACAAAACTAAAATAATAGAAGTTGTGAGTATTCAGTCAATGCTCATGCATTGTGGAATAAGATACATCTGTATTGTGTTCTTTTCTCCACCATCTGATCGTTGTGTTGTTGTTGCTAGAATTGTCTCAGTCCTTGGATCTTTCATTTGTGTTTTGTAGATAAATTATATATTTTAGACAATGTGTATCTTTTGGTCCCCACAAACATTGTTTTTCCCCTCATATTTTTCGCATTTTCATTTGCTGTCTTCGCCATCCGTTTCTTTTTTTTTTTTTTTTTTTTTCTTCTTCTTTACGTACGCTACATTACCATTAAATGGTTCTGTAATTACCTTATCACCCTTCATTATTTAATTTATTTTTTTCTACGCTTTCACTCTCTTTTTCGTAACTTCTCAAATCCATTATAACGAGCCCCTTTCTTTCGCCGTTATATTATTTTTTTATTTATCTTTTTAAGCCATTTGTTAGCTATATCATTACGTTTTTTTTTTTTCCCTCTTTGCATTTCTACGCCCTTTTTGTAACTTCACAAGTTTAATATGAAAGCTTTTAAATGTATCATTTTGCTTCGTCAGACTACGGTTTAAGGCAAAAAATTACCCTCAAATTATTTGATTGTGACAATTTAGAACTCATATTATGAATTTAAACTATTTGGATCTAAAATTATTATTTTTTAAATAAATATTATCTTTCATTCGTTATCTATGCGATCAAAACGTTCACCATTAACTAAAATATGACTTAATATAATAGTAAAATTTATCCTAAAACTATTATAATTGTTGCAAAATATGATTTATATCGTCAAATTTTACTGTTCGAACTCCAAACTATTAATTATTTTGCTATTTTTATCCTTTTCTAGTATTTTTGATAGTCAAAGTGTTGATTTTATATTGCCAAATTTGACTGTTCGAACTTCAAACTATTAATTATTTTGCTATTTTTACCCTTTTTTAATATTTTTGATAGTCAAAGTGTTGATTGTTAACTAAAATACTTAAAACGACGTCTTTTTAAGCATTTCAAATTTATTTTATTTTAGAATTAAAATTAATCTCAAAATAATAATAATAGTTTTTTTTAAAATTACGTGCATCCATTGCACATTGTTAATTATCTAACAATAAAACTAAGATCCATAAAAAAAAAAAATCATCTAAGCTACCTTAAGCTCATTTTTATTAAATATTTTTTTTGAAATTAATTAATTCTTTAAAAAATTTACTTGTTTTACTAGATGAATCCATTACATATCATTAATTATTCAACAATAAAAATTAAATTCATAAACAACAAAATCATCTAAACATTCTTAAAACTCGACTATTATTGAAAAAAATAAAATTAATTTTAATTTTGAAAAAATAGAACTATTGGCAATAATAAAGAAGGATAAAATTTGCCTAAAAATAAATAATTTATGGTCCAAATAACCTAAATTAATAGTATAGACCATGAATTGCCATAACCTAATAGTTTGGAGCTTATTTTTTCCATTAAACCACTAGACTAAGCTCTTTGATGGATAAATCTCCAAAATTAGAGTAGAAAAACCATTGATATTTTTAATACCTCGAATTTTTCTTTCGCTTCTTTGGTGAACTAATTAGATTGGTTGGGTTCTATTTTATTTTTTTTCTCAACTTTATGGATTTTTTTTTTAATATATTGGTTAAGGAAAGAAGGCAAAAATGATTTTGAAAGGGAGAAAATTGTCATTTTGGTTATTTTTTGGTAAAATACAGATCTATTTGTTGCGGCTCTATTTTGTTTTTTTTTTTTATGCTAGGAATTATTGTTTATCATCTGAAATTATTTCTATTTTTTTTCTAAAGTCTTGCTCCATTCTTTTTTGTGCTTTTGCTTCTTCTTTTTTTTCATCAATTTATTTTAATTTTATTATTATTGATTATTGGGAGAAAATTATGGATAAACAATTGTTGTTTTTAGGGTTTCTTAACAACCTAGAGAGGAAGAAATGTATATGATATACCTTTATATTTTAAAATGAAAATATTTCAGATTATATTACTTTTATTATTTAAAACTTATATTTCAGTTTGTCATTTCTTGTGGAAATTCCCATCCAATTGATTTTTTTATTAAAATTTTTTTACAAACAAATATGATTTTTTAAAAATCCACATATGGATTTTAGAATATGATTGCTTTTCTCTTTTTTTTTTTTTTAAAGAAAACATAAATGATAAAATTATATGATGAATTTTGAAAATTTTTAAATCATAACTCTACATGTGAGGTGTGTGCACAAGGACTGAACATGCATGGCCTAAAAAAAATATTTAAGGAGAAAGAAAGGAATTTATATGTTTTATTTGCTACTTCTTTACACAATCAAAATTTATGAAAATTAATTTTACAATAGTTTTTATTTTAGTCTATCAACTTCAAATTTATTCAATATATTACTTACAAATTAACTATTATTTTTTAATATTTTTTTATGTTGCAAACTCTAAACACGCTCAGTATAATTATTATGTAAATAAAAAATATATTAAATTATTGATTTTATTTTAAGCAACAACACAAAACACAAACCATTTAGTATTTATTTATTTATTTGGATATTATGGAATCAATTTCTTTCTAATTAAACAATCAAAATTGTGTTTTTGCGGAACCAATCAATTAATTATTTAAATATAATTTTTATTCTAATATTGTTGATAATTTTATGAATGAATATATAAAAAATTAAATGTACGGACTTTCAAAAACCATTATTCTCATCAACGTTAAATAAGAATCATATACAAGTTTTACATCAATTGTTATTTTGTTTTAATGACATAGTTTTATAAAAAAATACAGTGACTTTTTTTATTTTGCATTAATTTTTTTAGATTATTATAATTTTTTAATTAAGAATTCATGAATAAAAAAGAATAAATCATATTTTTTTGTATTAAAAATGTAAAAAACACAAGAAAATATGAAATTTTGATTATAAAATTATAAAATTGAATTTTTTTTTATGTTTGATTAATATATTTTTACGAATTTATAATATAGCATAGATCATTAAATCAAAATAATAAATGTTTTGTTTGATCTGTAATGTAGCGCAGAAGATCAGCTAGTACTGGACTAAAAAAAATAACAGAAAAAGGGAGAGGGCAAAATTAAATTAAACATGTGGAGGTTCTACTGCCGGAGCGACTGGAGAGAAGAAAAACATTAATTAATCATGAACGTTAGTTTTAATATTTTCTTATTCTGTCCGAAGAAGGAAGACCATTGAATTCCCAACCTTAACATCATCACATCACTAGTTATTAACCAAAAAACATATCCTACATGGCAGCCTCGTAATCTTACGTGTCAGTATTACAATCAAAATAAATCTAAAAGTTCTAGTAAAACAAATAAATACTTCAAAGTTTATTAAAAAAGAAATTGAAGTTCTACTACTCTCTAGTTAGAATTTCCTGGGCCCTTCAATGGACCTATTAATTTCATGGCTTTACATGAACTGGGATCATGTAATTGTAATCCAGTTCATTGCTAGACAATCAAAATCACATAGCATAAACAAAGGAAATGCTAAGAGTACTCTTTTTTTTTTTTAATTAAGTTTTAATTACTAAATAGTTGAGTTTTTTTTTTCATAGAAAAGTACTTTTAAATCTTATTTCCAGGTAGATTTATTTATCAAACTAAGCTTCTTTTTTTTTTTCTTTTTCTTTTGAAGAAAATCATTTTGTTAAAAAAAATGTTATATTATCACAAATTATTCTTCCCCTTCTCCCTACTTTGTCTCTGTATCAAGTATCAACCCCTGTTCTTCTTTGTTTTTTTTTTTGCTTTCTTCTCTCCTTCTCTTTTTCTATTTTTTTTTCTCTACAAACGACTTAGACAACATTAATCCGGACAAAACCCAAAAAAAGAAAAAACATATGGATCCAGTTTGATTTCAATTATTGATTGGATTAGTTCTGTTGTTGTTTTGATGTGATTTTGTTGCTAGTTCACATTTGGTGGAAGTTCGATTCGTTATTGAGAGGAAAGAGAACTAATCCTAAGATGATGCTGTGATCATTCTATATGTTAAAAATACGAATATAAAAACTCTCATTTAAGGGTAAAAGCTCCGTGTCAAATTTAGAATCAGGTAGCATGCAATTTTTTAAAATATTTTTTTTATTTATTTTGCCAAATTTTATATATAAAAAAAAAATAACGGAGTAAAAATTGGGTTATGAAACCACTTGATAAAGAATTTTAATTAAAAAATTAAATATCCCTGGGATTATCTATAAAGAAAGGTCCCTTCTAATGGGCCTGAATTTTGGCTGGGATTTCTACGGTTTCGCATTTGCTCATGCTAATGGCTTTATTAGCTCCAGGAAAGAGCGATGTTTAAAGCAAATAAAAATAGAAGAAGATATGAGGAGTGCAGGACGCAACAAGCTTGCCTCCTACAAACTATCCAGTTTGATGCCTATAGAACTGGCTTTTAGAGATTATTACCAACTTTTTCCGACAAAGCCACAGAGAAACATATCTACGTACAATTCCTTAGGTATTGGGAATCAATTATTTAATTACATGAACAAACCCGTTTAAGTTAGCTGAAACATATTCAATCCTATCAATATATATAGATTGGAGTTTTCTTGGGTTATTATCCAACTCAATCTTCATAGCTTTTGCTACGCAAAGTAGAAAGAGAGAATAGCCTGCCTGGATTTTCCAACCTAACCACTATATATATATATATATATATATATATATATATATGATTTTAGTCTTTGATTAAAAAATATATATCTTTCCATAAATGGGGAGGAGGTTGTTGAAGGGATTGTGTGTCAACCTGTTTTCAGTTAGAGTTAGTGACAGCGCTTGCATTATGGCAAACCTTCCTTTATTTCCTTTCTTCTCCACTTTGTTTTCCTTGGCAATGCTGTATATACTGGTTGTTTAAATATTACTATATGTTTATGACATGTTTAGAGCTTGAAAATCCTCCATTGTAGGGACTTGCAGTCGCTTCAAACATGGTACAGAAACTATCATTGTTAGGACAGGACCGCCACAGAAAAAAGTCTCAATCTTCATCGAGTTTTGTGTACATACAAAAAATAGTTATAGATGTAAATGGGTCCTCCTACAATCTTTATTATAGAAATTTGCCTATATGAATGATATTTAATTTGTTGCATGGAAAAAGTTAATCGTGATGAGTGGGAGACAATGAATGCATGAACCAGTCAAAATGTGATGAGTACTGGCCGGTAGCAACAACGTACTGTGGACTGCAGAGAAGATGGACAACAGTGTCCTCGTCATACTCTGACAATAACCAAAAAAAAAAAAAGAAAGAAAAAAAGGAAAAATGTTCTCATAAAGCTGACATAGCTTGAGAAGTACCTATTAGTCACTGCCACCTTTATCAGTTTCTTAATTAACCTTTGCTATTTATTTTTTAACCATAAGTGTGCATCTCTATCTTCTCCGGTTAATACAGCTACAGCAGCCAGCCACCCAAATCAAACTTCAGCCACTCTCATTGTTTAGGCTTTTGCCTCCTTAATTTGTAACCAAAAGAATTAAAAACTAAAACTAACCTGAACATTCTTTTTAGCTGTTGGTTCATATTTTTAGATTACTGATTTTGATGGCCATAATTAATAAGCTCATAATATATTTAGGTTAAGTCTTTCTGCCAAGATTGGGGAGTTAGTAATCATTGCTACATTAATCTGATATTCTATAGGGTTAGGAATATAATAAAGCTGGACCACTTTTTCTTTTTTACGGTTTTGAATAGCACAAACTTTACATGATGGACCTAAACTACCTTCCTTATAACAAACTTTTATAAGTTCTTGCACTTGGACATTTCCCCCAATTGCTTCCTTCTATGCTGACAGAAGCGGAGAGGAGGGTTTTCGCTTCTTAGAACGCCTAAACCGAAAAAGGAGATACCTACGCTTTTCGTCGGAAACTGCTTAGAATTGGGATTTTTGTTTGCTTCAGCTCATCGAGCTATTACAAAACAAGAGAAGCCATTTTGACGGTTTTTCGCTTCCAGTCTCTGTAAAACTCATAAATTTCATTTCATTTTCTTCCTTTCTTTCTTGGGTCTCTCTCTTTTTTATTTTTATTTTTTGTTCTAACTTATAATAATATTGCAGGAAGAGCTAAGGTTGATTAACAAACGAACTCTCCATGGAAGAGCTCTCCAATTACCACCAAGAAGAATCTGCTGTTGCTGCTGCCTCTATGGAAGAAATCCAACTTCAACACCACATGGCTTTTGACAACAACCACCATCATTTAATGCAACAGTACCCTACAAATCACCATCAAGTCCTGCCATATGACCCCTCCTCAAATTGGGATCCTAGTATCATTCAGTTCCAAGAGATGCACCAGGTATTTGATCAAAATGGCAACTTTAATGCCACTGCTAATACACCATCATCCTTGCCACCTGACCTTCTCAATCTTTTCAACTTGCCTGTATGCACATCAACATCCACTTTGCTTCCAAATTCATCAATTTCCTTTACAAACCCTGCCCATAACACTCCTTTGGGCTTTATGGGGGTGGACAATACATCTGTGCTTTTTGACTCGAACCCACTTGCTCCACAGCCTCATTTACTCAGGGAGTTGGTTCACTCGTTATCCCCAAATGGCTATACTTTGCCTGCAGTACCCTTGTTCGGCGGTGGCCAAGGGGATGATCCCGTGGATGGATTAAGTGGTGGAGGCCTTAGTTACCAAGACGGGGATCATGGAGATGGGGTTTTTGAGTTTACTACAGAAATGGATTGTATTGGTAAGGGAATTAGGAAAACTGGCAAAGTTACTAAGCATTTTGCTACTGAACGCCAGAGGAGAGAACACTTGAATGGAAAGTACGCTGCCTTGAGGAACTTGGTTCCAAATCCTTCCAAGGTACTAGCTATTACTTAATATCACATGATCAACTCTATTATATTTGCCTAATTACTATGAATCAGTACTATTTGGTTTCATTTGTTGCTTAATGATCCTGTTCATACTTTTGGATACTAACTGTACATTATTTGATGGGTTAGAATGATAGGGCATCTGTGGTCGGAGATGCAATTGCTTATATCAAAGAACTTCTTCGGACTGTTCAGGAGCTAAAATTACTAGTGGAGAAGAAGAGATGCGGCAGAGAGAGACTCAAAAGGCGCAAGAATGAAGAAGATGGTGGGGTAGACGTAGTTGAGAATTCTAACATCAAGGTTGAACAAGATCAGTCAGCATACAACAATGGATCATTAAGGAGTTCTTGGCTTCAGAGGAAGTCCAAGGATACTGAGGTAGATGTTCGCCTGATCGAGGATGAAGTTACAATTAAACTGGTTCAGAGAAAGAAGGTTAACTGCTTGCTGTCAGTCTCCAAAGTCCTTGACGAGCTTCAACTTGATCTCCACCATGCTGCTGGTGGCCTCATTGGTGATTACTACAGCTTTCTGTTCAACACCAAGGTCAGTTTTTTTTTAATGTATCAGCCAGCATCTATAATTAATTACTACTTGGTTTAATTAGTTTCTTATGTTATGCACATAATTAATGAAAAAGTTGGGTTTTTATTTTTATGGAAAATAACGAAGACATGTACTTATATATGATGTTGCAGATAGATGAAGGATCATGTGTTTATGCTAGTGCCATAGCCAACAAACTGATTGAGGTTGTGGACAGACAGCATGCATGCAGTACTACTAATGTACCAACAGGCAGTTGTTATTAGATAATATCAAGCCACGGGATAGATTATTCAGATTGTTGTTTTTATTTTCCTCAACTGGGATTTTGATGTTAAAATGTCTCATGATTTCATATAAACAATGGTAATGAAATAGGCCTAATTACCTGATTAGCATTGTGGCAAGGATGAAAAATTTCGCCAGATTACTCTTTTAATTTATTGATGTAGTGTTAATAACTTGGAAATTTATGCATTGCTTTTGCAATGTATATATAGTCTAATCGGTCATGGAAGATTCATCTATTTATCTATTTACATCCATCCTTTTGAGTGTATAATTGTTGGAATCTGAAATGACAAATTTTTGAAATCCGCTAAATTGTTATTTCCTAAAACACATATAAATCTGCTATCCAACATCTAAAATAATTTGCCTTTGAGGTCAACATAAATATAAGTTTGGGCAAGGCAACAACCTATACATACATATACATACATATATATACATACATATATATATATACACACACACACATGGAATTAGATGTGGGATGGTGGATTCATACGTATTTTAAGAAATAGCAACACAATGGACTTCAAAAATCTATTAGAGGCAAAACTATGATGGAATTAAACGTGGGATGGTGGATTCGTACTTGTTTCAAGAAATAATAACACAATAGACTTCAAAAATCTATCATTTCAGCATTCGGATTTTAATAATTATACAACTTCTTAACTTTTACACTCAAAAGTGCGTGTGTGTATATATATATATATATATTGGAATTTGGATGCTGAAATGATAGATTTTTTATATTCACTGTGTTGCTATTTCTTGAAACATGTACGAATCCACCATCTCACATCTAATTCCATCATAGTTTCAAGAAATAGCAACACAATGGACATAAAAAATTTGTCATTTCAGCATCCAGATTCCAACATTTATATTGATCTCGGAGACAAAACTATGATAGAATTAGAGGTGAGATGGTGAATTCGTGCATGTTTCAAGAAATAGCAACACAATAGACTTTAAAAATCTATCATTTCAGCATTCAAATTCCAACATTTATATATATTGATCTTAGAGACAAAACTATGATGGAATTAGAGACGGGATAGTGGATTCATAGATGTTTCAAGAAATAGCAACATAATGAACTTAAAAAATTTATCATTTTAGCATTCAGATTCCACCACACACACATATGTAAAGCACATATACATCAATTAAGAAAGACCAGTCATAAACAACCCAACGGATTAAAGTTTAGCGATCGCATTTTAAGTGAGAATAAGTAAATAATAGCATTCAACAGTTCCAAAATAATGGAAAATCTGGGAATAGCTATTTATATATATTATATAAATAAACAAATAAAAATCTGTGCAGAGTTGTTTTCGGTTATAGGTACTTTACTAATCTAACAGATCGCCAGTCCAATTGTGCGTGAAAATTATTGGGCCGGTATCCTATCCTGACCCCATCATATTTGAGCCCATTGGATTAGAAAACAGCACCATGGATCCAAAAGAAAGAAAAATGAAAAAGTAAGGGAATTCTTTTTCTGGAAGAGAGTAAGAGAGAAATGAATGGAGCAAGTAAAGCTAACATATAAATTTTACTTGTGGTGAAATAAAAAAAATGTTTAAAAAGTATTTTAATAACGCAAGTAAAAGATAGAGCCATTTCTTTGGATCTGAGGAGCAAAACAGCGTAGGGATTCAATAAAAATTGAAGGGCAAGTAAACATATATACTAATATGAATAGTTAATCATCACTTTAAAAGTAATTAACCAAAGCCAAATTGAGTGGTTGAGCTCGGACAACGGCCTTTTGAGGAAGAGAATTTCACTATATACTAATATGAATTATGTGAAGAGTGATACTAATAAACATTAAAAATAAACAAAAAAAATATATAGACAATTCAGCCCATCATTTAATCATAAAGTAATAGTTTATTGGTAAACAAATATTGACTTGTAAACTAGACTCAACGTTCCATTTGTGTAGTAAATATTTTTGAAAATTTATTTTTAGAATATCTAAGGTCATGCATTGAAAAGTATTTTTTAAGTCATATATAGAGAAAAAATTTTCTTGAAATACATGAAAATTGGTCTGAGGACAGAAAAAAAAATCCAATTATTCAGAAATCGTTTTAAATTTATATTCTTAAAAATTGGGCCGGTATGACACTTAAGTCCCGAAACATTTGGAAGAACAGGCCAGAACTTGTTTGAAATATGGGCCATTTGCCCTAAACTATAAAACCTGTTGGTCCATTTTGGCAGCTACTGAACGACATCGTTTACGAAGGGAAAGTGAGTAATAAGTCCTCCTCCAAAGCAAATACCACCCAACTGAAGTCTGAAAGTCTCTCTCTGAATAGCAATGGCAACAATACGAATGATAGGCAAGTGATTGATTCCTACTAACTCATAATTCCCTCTCTTTCTGTTTTTTTCATTTCAAAAAAAAAAAAAAAAAAAATAGAAATTTTATTCACTTCATTTCCTTTCTCTCTTGTCTTCTTTTGTTGTTTACTATCGAAACAGATATAGCTGTGAACTTCACAGGTCAGTCAGACATTTTATCAAACACTCTGTTAACATATTCTTAAATTCCAATCTCTCTTGTTCTCTTGCTTAAATTGAACAATGCGTGTGTAATATTTTGTACAGATGGAATGTTCAGAGGAATCTACAACGGCAAGCAATACCATGCAGCTGATATAGCCAGTATATTGAGCAGGGCTTGGAACGCTGGTGTGGATCGAATCATTGTATGCCTCTCCATTCTCATTTTTTACACCTTTTTACTCTGTTTGATATTTTGAATCAGTTCTACTAGTTGGTCTAATCTAATGGAGTTTGATTCTTTGAGAATGATAAGAATTTACTTGGAGTATTTTTAATATTGTTAGTTTTAAATATCAAGCTGTTGTTTCTGAGTATTAACTTGTTTAGATTTTGAAATGTTAAAAATTGGTTAAAAAGAAAGTGGAAAATTTTTACCAAAACCATTTAGTTGATAATTAAATGGTTTGTTATAAAATGATGTTAAATTATCTGGGCTTGTGTTTATAGGTGACTGGCGGGTCCCTCGAGGAGTCGAAGGAAGCTCTTGCCATTGCCGAGACTGATGGTCTTGCCATAGTTTTCTTCTTATCAGTACATGTTGCTTTTGCTTATTGTTTAGAAGGGTTTCTGGTTTTTGTTAATTTGAAAGTTGGTTGTTTGCCACAGGAAGGCTTTTTTGTACGGTTGGTGTCCACCCAACAAGGTGCAAGGTTGACTGTTATTCTTGAAGTTTGGTTACTTATAGAGATTTCATGTGTTCTAAAATTATCTATAAACTGTGGTTTTGTTGGACTCTTGGAGATGTTCCTGATGGTGGTCTTTCTTTATCTATTCAGGAGTTTGAAGAGAGTGGGGATCCAGAAAAGCATTTTCAGGCTCTCGTGTCACTGGCCAAAGAGGGAATACAGAAAGGAAAGGTTTGCTTTTATTGGTCTTGTTTATAGGACAACGACAAGGCCATCACAAATTTGAGCATATGCCAAAAATCAATATATTTAGATCATAAAAGATATTTAATTAACATTTAACTTAATGCTTTCTAAGAAGAGAGTGATGCACAATGCTATAGTCCCAGCACCTATCCAATGAATCGTTGTTCTCCAAATAACAATGCCTGCAAATTTTGAAAATTTACTTGTTAATTGTGTTTGTGGCCTCCCACTGTCAATAAGAACTTTAAGTCAAAAAAATCTTATTTCTGTTGACTGAAATATGATGGAAAATCTATACATAGAAGAGTTATCTATGTGTCATTACATAGCCTCTTGTTTTGGTAGAGTGATTCTAATAATATTAATTTTGAAACTGACTTCTACTTGGATCTATAGTCTCTTAATTTTTTCATTGATTTTCCACCTTTCAAAACTTATCTGTAACATTATTCTACTTACATCAGTAGTGTTCTTTATGATGCACTTTGTTCTTGGATGTTTAATGTAAGGTGGTGGCAATTGGTGAGTGTGGACTGGATTATGACAGGCTTCAATTTTGCCCATCAGATATTCAAAAGAAGTAAGCCATTGCTGACAGAAATGTTCCTTATGGATTTCTTTGCTCGTCATTATTTAGTTGCTCATTATTTTCATCCACTCCTATTACATGTTGGCACCCTTATTATCCATATTTATAAACAGGTATTTTGAGAAGCAGTTTGAATTAGCATATGACACAAAGCTACCGATGTTTCTACATATGCGTGCGGCTGCTGCAGATTTCTGTGGAATTTTAGAACGTAACAAGGATAGGTTAGTTTACTCTCTTCGTAAACCAAATAATGCTGACTAAAGTTTTGCTTCATTCAGATTTTGTCTTATCATCTTTGTTTTGGGCTGCCCTGTAGTCTTTTGCATAAATTATTGATGTAGAACCACAACAAGATTACTGAATCAAGCGACACACACTCAATCTCGAGATAACCAAAACAAGAGAGACACAACTCAATCTTGAAGAAAACTCGGGTTTATATTTGAGCCAATATAGCTTAAGCTAAATGTCTGCACAAGGTGTTTATTTATTGGTAACCAAACAAAATAAAAGGTCCTAATAAAAGTAGGAAACATAAGAAAATTAAAATATTAAAATTAAACCTTAAATTTCTTTCTAAAATGAGTAGCCCTAAAAACCCTATTAAATGGGCCCACATCATTTATATTGATAGATATTTACCATTATTTTCATTTTCTATGAGAAAATGACCACTCAATCACTTGCATGTTAATGGCTGAACTTGAATATCCTTCCTTTTCACAGAAAACCATTTCATGCTCCAAATGCATTGAAGTTGAGTGAAAAAATGAAAGGCATAGTTTAAAATTTGGTTTGGACATTAAAAATAAATTTCACCTATTTATAATTGTTTTCCTTTGACGGCATATGTCCAGGTTGATGTGTGTGGTACTGATTTCCATAGTAAATTGACATTTGACAGATTCAGTGGCGGGGTCACTCATTCATTTACTGGTAGTGCAGATGATTGCGAAAAACTTCTTTCATTTAGTAATATGTATATAGGTGAGCATACTTTATATTTGCTAGTTTCTGTTACCCTTCTTTTTGTTAGATTTTTTATTTTGGTGCAGAGTTAGTGACATGAGATGAATTGCTCTGCTGGATAAATCTATTCATCTTCTTAAGAAGCCAAAGCTATGGTAGATGCATTTATCCCCATGAATGCAAATTTTGGTAGAAAGTACTGCTTATTAGGGGAAGAAAGAAGAGGTTGTAATGGTTTTAGGTGGATCGATATTGCAGTTATAGACGATGCAGTTAAGGCTACTGAAATTTCTGGTTGAAATGCTGACATTGCTTGCAGAGACTCAAATGATTTGTGAATTCCAAGGGGTTTGCAAGAGTGAAATAAGAATAAGATTACTTTTTAGAAGAAAAATAAATATATTGGAAAAGGTTAAATATGGTTAATTTTCCATGCGCTTGGAAAAAGATCATTTTGGCAGTAACATGTGATAAGAAGATAAGGTGGTGTCTTTAATAGCACTGTAAAAAATCAGGCAGTACTCTGAGGAGATATATGTGGTTGGTGACTTAAAAGAGGCAATGCAATGAACTGTGCGGAGATTGTTTGGCTTTCTCTTTCAGCAGATTGGTCAGAGATGCAGAGTATGGAGTTGGCTTAACTTACTGGATGTGATGGATGCTCTTCTTTTGTTGCAAAGGTACTGATGGGTTTGCTCCAATCGCAGGTTGATGAAAGTTGTAGAGTGATGGCTTGCTGGTTTGAAGTTACCATACTTTGACTATTATAGTATAGATTCAGTGGCCATTGATCAGAGAACAAATTTGACTAGTATTGGGGTGCAATATTTTTCTGCTTTTCATCTGTAGGCACCATCTCTTAATCTTGTGATACAATACAATATTAGAATTATTCAAATTAAAAAGACGGTCACGATAATAGGAATTAGGCATTCATTGTCTAAAAAACAATAACTAAAAGTTCAGTTCTGCTGTTCTACACTAATGCTTAAGAGAATCTGATACTTATTTCCTAGTTATTAACTTGCTTGAATTTCTTGGTGTTTGGTTTTCAAGTTATCAATGGCTTCATATGGTTCTGCCTACAGGTGTAAATGGCTGCTCCCTGAAAACTCCTGAGAATCTTGATGTTGTGAGGGGTATCCCTGTTGAGAAAATGATGATTGAAACGGATTCTCCATATTGTGAAATCAAGAATACTCATGCTGGGATTAATTTTGTAAAGTCTACTTGGCCTTCTAAGAAGAAAGAGAAGCATCAGCTGGATTGCATTGTCAAAGGTCGTAATGAGCCTTGTTTAGTTCAGTAAGTGACTACATTTTGTTCAATGGCATATCTGACATTATATTTTCAATTTTTTTTTTGTTTCTAAAGATGAGCATCCTGGTTTGTATATTTCCATAAAGTAGTTTATACATGTTGGAGAGACTGAGTGGTTTAGAATAGGAGGCTTGGAATTTAGTCATGGAAACTATTGTCAAATATTGTTGTAGTATGGAGTCTTGACATCAGATGAATTGAAATTGCTTCAAGGGTGGTGATTATATATATATGCTGCGTTCTCTGACAATATAACGCTTATCCTTCTGGAATCACAAATCTCAGGATACACAAGTATTTGTTTCCATGGTGCACATTATGGTGTTGTTGAGACAGAGATACATTTTGGGAAAATCCTTGAATCTATTTCTCATCCTCCCTTAAACCTGTAGCACCTAAAAGTGGAATCATGCTTCTTTAGGTTGGGAGTGTTTGTTGTGTCTTTTACACGTATTATCAAAAGTTTTTTCCTGGACAACAATTAGAGTGCGGTAGTAATGTTTCTTTATGTTTTTGAGTTGGTTCTGCTATTTTTGCATCTATTTCTTGAAACAAGATGGATGTTGTTTTCCAGTCAAGTTCTTGAGGTTGTGGCTGGCTGCAAAGGCATCAGTGAAATAGAGCAAATGAGCAGGACTATTTACCACAACACCTGCAGGTAAGCATCTTTTGGAGTTCCTGGATTCGCTGTTGTTGATTTAGGCATCAAATAAGTACTCACTAAGCGATGGAACTTTAAAATCAGACCCTGGTCAAGTTCATGGGTTGATTTTTTGCTATTTTCCTATTGTGGCTAATCTATGATGTCTTTTCTCTGGGAATATTAGAATCAGAACCCAGTGAAATGCAGCCAGGTCAAGTGAAAATTCAACTGGGAAATTACTTTCTAGAGTTATTTTAGATTCAAGATTTTCCTATGTAAAACATGTGTTGTTTTGCAGGGTTTTCTTTCCCCAAGATCTGGATTCCGCTGCAGATGCTCTTCTTGCTGGTCATCTTGATTCTCAATGAACTTCAATTGGTTTTGCATAAGCCATAAAAGGAAAAAATTCTCCCCAGTGTTGACATTGCCAGTTCCTCTTCTCCATTTGTTGAATTCATCAACGATGCTTTCATCTCAAGATATCTAGTTGTAATGGAACTATTGGCATAATCTTATGAAAATTGCCTATTTGCAGTGTTTTGGTGGTATTTTTTTTCCTTGGTGTAGAACTGCCTAGTGGTTTGGGATGGGAAGGATTTCTTCATGCATACGCTTCAATTAGCTGTTACTTGTACAAGTGACGATAAACAATGAATTGTACTGTTCACTTTCGATGACGAATCTGAAACTCCCGTAAGATTCTGCATGGATGGAAACTTGTCACCGTTCACGTTACCAGCAGCGACCCTTGACATGATGACAACATTACGGCAATATGTTGCTGTCTAAGACCGGTAGAAATGGCTAATTTGATCAGTAAATCCACTCAAGATCGATTTGTTTCTATTGATTTCATTTGACCCCTGATTGCAGTCTCCCTGACAAATATTTTATAAAGATTTTAACCTGGAAGGAGATTCGCTGCTATCCGAAAAGCAAAAGAAATGCGGGATCCAGAACAACTAAAAGATGTAATTTAACAAAAACTTGCGGTGCTTCACGGTGAAGTTGATTTTATTTTATTTTTTTCACCATCAAAACTGTGCACACGCCACAATAAAGTTAATAGTAAAATTGGCACTATATTTAAAATTTTTTTACAGTCGATAGCTATATTACTCAAATTGCACAGCAAAGGACACCAGCCCATCAGCTTGTACTTAAATCAACTTCTATGGATTTTGTACGAACCAGCTTGTATCCGGTTGTGGAGCAGGAAAAAAAATAATAAAAGAGGTCCTTATCGTGTCAAGATTTGGAAGTTGATGGCTATATCTTTTCACAGTGCTCCGTCTAACAGCATATTTAAACACCCATGGAATTAAAATGGTCCTCTTAGGCTCCAATGCTCGACAGCAATTCACCACTCTCGAGATTGTTCTGTTTGTTATTTTCCTGAGCTGAAAGGGGAGGTGCTCTTTCTCCGGCCAAATTCAATCGCAATGGCCGCCCCTCCACCTCCTGTTATAATTACATGTCAGCTGATCAAAAAAATGAAGAACAAGCAAAATGATTCAAGCATGAAAAAGCAATAGCCAACTCAGGTTTTACCACTCCATTCATGGCTTCCAAAGCAGCTTCTGCATTCTCAGCAGATTCAAAAGAGACAAAGCCAAAACCTCGTGATCTTCCTGAGTCCCTCTCGTAGATGACTTTGGCACTTAATACGCCTGGCTGGTCAGCAAATGCATCTCTAAGACCATCAGATGTGAGGCGCCAACCAAGGTTTCCTGCATATATCTTGTGCTCGCTGTCAAGAAAACCCTTGTAGCCACTCCGTATTCTTGGTCCCATTACTTCCCTCTCACCTCCCCTTGGCACTTCTGGGAAGTTCACCCTCACAGTTCGACCTCCGATTTGCTGTCAACCATCACCAACATCAGTGATACCATTTTCCATCTTCTCATATAGTGCTCAATTATCAGCAATCAAATAAAAGCACGATTCTCTCCTTCGTTAACATGCATCTAGAAAACCACACATATAATATAGTTGGGGATAAGGAAAGGAGCTGAGTTATGATAAGTGCCCAAGATAAGGACAAGATTTCCATAAAGAAACTCTCTAGCTGACAAGGCATTTTCTAACACCACCAGTTAGAGCTTGGATTCTTTCTATTCAAATAAAGAACTAGCATAGATTCACTTGACAGCAAAAAAATCATGGTTAGAATTGGACCAAATCTCAGCACAAGTTGCTAACCATCTAAGTTTTCGTTTTTAGCAATGAGAGATTGCAATAAACATATGATTGGTTTCGCACCAGCAGCATTCTCCACCTCCCCACACACACTTAAGCAACCTCATAAGATTTCATATCAATGCAAAACTAAAAATTTTGCAAAGCTATTGCACTCGAAATCATATAAAAGCTTAACAAATACCCAAAAAAAAAAAAAGAAGGGGGGTGGTTCACTTACAGTTCCATTGAACATCCGAATTGCTTCTTTAGCTTCTTCAACACTTCCCATTGTAACAAACCCAAAGCCCCTGCTCCTATCCGTAACTCGATCATAGATAACCTTAAGACCCAAAAAATAAATAAAAATACAACACAAGTATAATTCCTTTGTTGAATAATAGAGAGAGAGAGAGAGAGAAGAATATCTAAACCCAATAGGTAACAGTACAAAAGAAGTCAGACCTCAGCACTGAAAACACGACCAGCTTCCTCAAAATTCTCAGCCAATTCCGAAGAAGTCATAGAATATGGTAAATTTCCCACATATAGCTTCCCTTCTTCACTTGCTTTTATCGCCTTCACATCTCGTTCTCCTTCTCCTTCTCCTTCTCCTTCTTCAATTTCTTGGTCAAATTCGTCTGTTTCACTTTGGGGGTCGTCTTGAGCTGTGATGTTTTCATCTGGTCCAGCTTCAAAATTGTCAGAAGAGGCAGCAAAAATTGCATGAAAATGAGGGAGGGAGAGAAGAGAGAGGGAATTGGAGTTTTGGTTGCTGAGTTTGAGGGGTTTTAGAGGTTTAAGGAATGGTTTTGAAAAGAAGTGGGAAGGGAGTGGAAGTGGAGAGCGAGTGAAGGAGAGGTTTGAGAGCTTTGTGTGTAATGGAGAAGAAGTTATAGTTGAAGCCGCCATGGAGAGAGCTGACATTTTTATTCTGCAAGACAAATTGAAAAGAAAATGGAGGGCTTGAATGTTTTGATGATATTTTTGGAAGAGGAAGATAAGGTTCGTGATTTTTTCAGTTTGGTTCGCATTTATTGGTTTTGGTCCTTCTCGGTCTTCTCATTGGGTATGGACTCTTGGGTTGATTTGTGAGTCAAGAAAAAAAGAACAATGGAGCACTTATTTTGGGTTGGGCTCATAAATTCAATTGAAGACCCAAATTCTCTTGCTTTCACTTTCTTCACGAGGGAACAAACAGAAAGTGCTAAACGCTTTTATATCATATGCCTTTTTGTTTCCACCGGAATAGGATTGTTCCTTCAATTTGCAGATATAAAATGGGACAAGATTTCCAATCATACAAATAGTACATATTTAGTTATTTCTTACAATCAGGAAACCATAGAGTAGTTATCAAACTTCAAGAGCATCAAACATGCTTCAACATAATTTAGGGTTACACACTTATCTGGGTGTCTTGGTTACATTGATGGGAACACACCCCTTTATTATCTTGTCCATTGCCTAAGATTTTTACAGTGCATTGAGGTTTCAACATCTCTAACCACCCCATGACAGCAAGGTTGTATGGAATGGCAAAGATAACCTTAATACGCAGGAGCCAAGAACGACTTGCCCTAACAACCAAATGGTGAAGTCCAACTTCAGGCCAAAATTTGGTTGCAGGTTCCAGCAAAGCTAGGGTTTGGTCTTGTGCAAGAAACAAGCACCAACCCTATTTGATCCTTTGCTATTTTAGGTTGCAGCAGTTGTCAGCTGCTGCAATCCACTTACTTGGCATAGCAATGCCATGCCCTCTGTCCATGCCTGAGAAACTACGGACAGATGGCCCGAGATGATTGATTGGAAAGCGATCGAAATCTCCCCTATTGTACATGCTAGTCACCTCTGATCCTGAGAGATTTGATCCACCACCATTTGCTTCCATTGAGGAGTTCAAAGTTGCACCACCTGATTCCAGGACTTCAGAATTCTGAGAGCCAGTTGGCTGAAAAAGTTGAAAATCACCAGCTTTCTTTGCCTCCATGATGTCTTTTCCATCATTCAACTCTTTTGTATTCAAGAAACGGCCGCCACATCCCCTTGGTCGGCGCATTGCGTGGAGATGGCGTGAATGGTGCATATAGGGCTGTCAACCAGAAAAACCTTAATTCATAGAGGCAGAATGTTGAGAGGGATTTGCTTTGAAGAACACAAGAATATTTCCACTAGCCACAAGTGGCAGATTGAAAGCACGGTCAAATCTCAAATACATAAACCATAAGAAGAACCAAGCTACTGAATCAAACATTCATTTAACCCAAACTAGGATCTCATAAATGTCATTATAATTGGATCAATCACCATCTGTCCTAGACATATTATAAATGAATGGATAATTTACAGAGAAGCTAATGTATAAGATTGATAGTACTTGTCACTTTGAGCCAAATTTTTTTCCAAAGGGAAGATGCCAAAGGCTGGCCCTAATTTACAATTTGAACTAACGTATGTCTTAGGACTTGGAATTGAGAGAAGGGGTTACTTATGAGGTCCTATATGTCAGACCACTTTTCAATCTCGCCTGATATGAAGTTTCATGTCCAAAAGAAAGTGCTAGATTGAGTTACCAAATCAAAAGATCATACCTTACGATTTCTGGCCAACTTGTTCTCCATTACAGCTTTTGCACGGGACTTCCTACGCCTGATGATTCCATGGTACTGCTTAGCATTTACATATATAGGTCCATCATCTGTGGTCATGCTCATTGGCAGCATAATTCGGCCCTATGTTATTATGAATAAAAAAAGAATTAGCTAATACTAGATTTCTAGTTGTCACTGGTTCTCTTCAAGCTGAAATAAGAACTCAAAAATGAAAAGGGTATCCTATCACTTAAATGTACGGCACAATTTTTCTTTTTTTTTTTCAATTTTCTTAAGTGTATGAAGGGCTGTTATTGGCCACATCACCCAGTAGACTACAGATTAGCAGTAAAGGAATTATTTTGCTTCATGTGGGTAAAGCTAAATGAAAAGATATATTTTCACTTGAGAGAAGGAACACAAACCGAAATTTGAGGCCCAAAAGTTGAGAATACTCCATAGCATTGATCCACAAGAGGATACTTCGTGCAAATCTACAGTTGCGTTTATCAAAGTGCAAACCATTAGCATCAGTCACTATAGACCAGGTTCAATACTGTCAGTATAAAACCTTAATTGAAATAAAAATTCTCACCACAGGCTGACCAAATCCCAGGTCAAAATGAGCACGGTAGTCTGGCAGAGCTGTTTGCAATGAAATGGTTGCCTGAAGAGGTTTCTGTACATCACCTGAAGTTTTGCAGTCACCTGAATGAGAAATTACCTGGATGGTTAACAGATAGTCATATTGAAAGTACCGAAAAAAATAAATAAAAAATTTGTAGATAAATTGGAACCTAAATGACTGATCTATCAACCAGACACCAGAACTGCCATCTGATGCTTCCTTTTATAATAATGGATCAAAATAATTCAGCATTCTAGATACGCATTAAAGATCTTTGTTAATGATTCATGGTATCAAATGGGAAGCAGGTAGTATTTGAAGAGATTCTGGAAATATAGATGCTAGGAAGCAATATTTCACCCTTGAGGAAGAGCTTATCCATTTCTGCATTAAATGTGGACTACTAGATAAATACGAGCCATCATTTTCCCATCTGTAAAATGTAATCTGCTCTAATTTATGATACCGCCTGGTCTTTGGGGACATGAAAGATGAAGACATGCCAGACCAGTTGAGCATTTCATGTTTCAAGCTAGCATTTGCCAGAAAGATTGAAGCAGCATTTCCATGCTGCTTTCTGTATCTCCGTGACAAGAAATGACTTAGAGATGCAATCATCATTGATCATGGTTTTTTGCCAATGGTGATGCATGTTTTTGTCCATTCAAACAGATCCAATTACATCAGATCACCGTCCATGTCTTTTCTGCAACATGTTTGATTAGTTTATCAACTATCTTGTTTTCATAGTACCTCAGTTTTATCCTTATCATAGGAGAAAGAAATCTTCTTTAGGATATTTGTTTATCCCTAAGTTCATCAAGTATCTATCATAGAATAGACATTGTTGACTCCTAAATTGTTCATGAACCAATTTCATAATTTTATCCGTTTAACTATAAAAATCCTCCAAAAATATTACAAGTCTTTGGGCACCCTCCAGAGCCATATGGCTGTAGCATATTTGAGGAGCAAATTTTCCAGTTTTGTCATATTTTTATTTTTGGCTGAATTCCTGTATGAATGTTCATAGTTCGCACATAACAACTGCCATTCTTTGCAGTGATATGGATAGATATACCAAATCACTTAACAATCTACTCTATCTCACTTGACTCGAACATGATTTCAAACACAATCTTGCCACTACTTGTTTCCAACCTTTTGGCCCACATCCACTATTATGAATGAAACTGAAAAGTCAGTCTTATATCCTACTTGACCCATTTTGTTACTGGCTAGATACTATAATTGGGCAGAAACAACTTTCATTAATTCTAGCCTCAATATACACCAATTAATTTGTGGCATATATAGTTATAAAATTGATTGATATTGTAATTCAAGACACCATCGAAAACTTTATGGTGCAAACAACTGTGATCCAAAGGTTATACAGAGCACAAGACAAAGTATCTCTATGCCTTCTAAGGCTGCATATTTGTAACTAATGACGAGAATTACCGAAAAAATGTAACAAATCAATCAGAAAGACATCTATGCAAAATTGTAAACCATAAAGAAGGAGAATCATTTACCTGGAAATATAGTGAATTGAGTACTATTCCCTTGATCCAGACCTTGCTCAGCACTCATCCTGGCATACTTAGTAGCAGTTTCACCTCCACTGGCAGGCTGTTCTATTGGTTGAGCCTTCAATAGGCCACACGATTCACCACTAACAGCTTGAGACCCAAATGCAGTCCACCATGGCACTGTTGACAACTGCCCAATTGGATTATGGACAATTCCTTCATGTTCTTTGAGATACAAAGTTTTCATAGCCATTAAATTCCCTCTGAAACGACCTGATTGATTGCTTTAATCGTCCTTATCTCAACAGTAGTTCAAACTAATTCCTGGAAGTAAAAAAAAAAAAAAAAAATTAATAAAATTTCTCACCAAATTTTCTGCTGAATTCAACTTCATAAAAATATTAAAAATAAGGACAGAATTCCTATAAATCATATCACCAAAGACTTTTCCATTGTAAAACACAACCCCCAGGAAAAACATATCAGCTTTGTCAGCCAAAGTAAAGAAAAATGAAGCAGAAAAATATGCTAGAAAATTCCCAAATATCAAATCCTAGAAGAAGATCATCACCATGTTACTATGAAGAGAAATTAAACACCAACCAAATAGAATGGAAAATACAAGAAAAAGAGGGGAAAATACATGCATAGAAGACAGTTTCTTTATAAAACAAAAACAAAATAAACAAGACATAAAATGAGCCCATCTTAGAGTACAGAGATAGTGACCAAATAAACCAGATATACACAGTGAAGAAACCAAGACAATAAAACAGAGAAGAAACAGGCACTCGAGACAGAATCAAAACTGGAATATTCTGATTAAAAGACAAAATTTTGAGAGACATACATACATACTTACATAACAGCAGCAGAAGCAAGCAACAACTTAGGTCTCACACAGAAGCAGAGAAACCCCATTTGTTAAGAGCCATTTTTTTTGGAGTAAAATTTCAAGCAACAAACAAAAAGAAAGCAAGCAGAAAGAGAGAGGGAGAGAGTGACAGAGAGAAAGAGAGGGGAAAGAGAAACAGAGAGAGATGGGCAATAAATGCATCCAAGGGTAATGGAAGTACACGCCAGTAACCAATGAGCATTAGCTTTCATGCAAGTCTTTTCTACACTCACTGTACCAGTAAATAAATGCAATAATTTATTGATTTCTTTGTCTCTCTCTTAGTCTCTTTGTCTTTTTTAACCTTGTTTTCCTCTTTTTTTTTTTTTTTTTTCCTCTCTAAAATCCAACATTATTAATTTATTTTGAGCAAGTACTACAATCCAACATTGAAGGTCTCATTCCCATTTCTTTTTTTGAAGTCCAAAAATAGGTCTGAAACCATGTAATGAGAGAGTTGGATAACTGCTGCCTGCCATGCCATCTCTATTTGTGGTAACTACACTCATTTATCTTTTCCTACTGATAACAGTGAGTGGCAGATAAGTTTAGAAATAGGTTAAGTGGTGTTTCTGGTACAGCCCAGTTATGCTACTTAATTTCCACTTGGCCTATACTTTAAACATATTTTATCTGGCTGGTGATATTGCCATTTTTATTTTATTTTATTTTTTTGGAAGAGAAGAAGAAGAGGTAAAACACATTATATATAATAGAGTAAATTATAAATCAGTTTCTCCGGTTTTGAAAAATAAATTAACTACTTTTCTTTGTTTTAAAATCTAATTATTTAATTTTTATATTTTTAAATTTTCTTGTAACTTAATTTTTTTCATTCCTTTTTAATATATTTTAATTTTTTGTAAGAAATAGAAAAATAAAAAAACAAGTAAAAATATAAAATGATTGATAAAAAAGAAGGTATTTTTGAAGTAAAATAATATTAAATTAAGTACAATCAATATTAATTAAGGAACTAAATAATTAGTTTTTTAAATAAATAAAAAACTAACTAATTGGTTTCTTGAAACTAACAAAATTAATTTATAATCTACTCTAATATAATATTCATTTTTTTTAAAAAAAAAGGCTCCAAAACTCTACATATGAATTAGCCATATATATTGTCAAGGAAGGTGAACCTTCTGTGTTGGCGTGTGTGGACATGCAAAACACTGTTCTTATTAGATGCATGAATATTAACCAATGTATACATTTAATTTATATAAAAAGAATAATAATATGTAGAGTTTTGTACTACATATGTCGTAAATAACATAGATATTCTTTAATTTCAACATGCTGATGAAGTGGTTAAGAATATATGTTTCATTTCTTCACATTCGAGAAGATTGATTCGAAAATAACTTTTATTATCAAATTAAATAAAAAATAAAAACATGAATAATCTTTTGTATTTTTGTATTTTTATTTTTAAATAACGTGGTAATCTATCTATTGCTTTTTTATTATCATTTTAATTGGAAGAGAGGATGAAGTGACATTCAAGATTAAAAGTAATTTTATTTGACAAAAATAAAATAAAATTGGATTTCCAGAAAATAATATAAATACGGAAGTTTGAGTTAAAAAAAAAATTATATACCGATTCTCCTCATTTCTATAAACTCCGACATTGTGGCAGAGACTTAGAGGGGAACAGAGGTATTTTTTCGTTTCAACTACCATTTCCCTTCTTCTCGAATAAAGGAAACTATTTCCGAATAAAGTAATTAAGGTTTTAGATAATATAATTTATTAAGAATCTTGCTCATATATTAATTTCTCCAGGCTTTCCCACGTTATTATAAAGAGATTTCTCCCTATATACTTATACGATGCGGAGCGAAATCAATATTTCATAGGTAGAGGAGAGGAGAAGCTCACAAAATGTTAATTTATGTTTCAAGAAACTGCTAATTGCAGAAATTAGATATCATGTTTAATAAAATAATTAATATACTTACAGCATCTTGACATTGATGTTCCAAAGTCAAACTGGGTTCGTTACAGGTCATATGATGCATGGTATAAAATAATTACAGAACATTTTAAAGTATCAAGCAGCAAAATAAAATGATATCTTACTAACCATGAATTTTGGTTAGTATTTAAATCGGAAATCCTCCCCAGCTACCCAAACATTCAAAATTACAGAAATCTTTTCCACTTTTTTATTGTTAAGTTGTCCCAAACCTAAAACTCAAGATTAATTTTTTGCTATCCAAATTGAATGCACAAGACAGGTATAATTATCCAAATAAATTTTTACGTATATGAAAACTTATATTTGAAACTACTTACTTAAACGATTAAACCTCATTCCACTCTATTGTACGTGGCTTGAATTTTTTGAACTAATAAGATATTTAGCTCATTAGGTTTTTTTCTTTATCGATATGAGATATTTAAACCTCTTTATGTCTCTGTTTAGGTAAGATTATTTAGACAAGAGAGTGAAAAATAAAAATTTTATATTGAGTCATCACGATTCTTGTATTTTTCTATTATTAAACTAATAAAATTTACCTATCCGAACCATATAAATTTTATGTATTGATAATTTATTTAATTTTATATTTTAATTATTATTTATCATTACTTGTTTTCGCTATTTGTCATTACACACTCAAACCAGCGTTGTTGTATTAAAGTCCATTATTCCTTATCTATTAGATTTCACACTTCAGACTTCAGACCAGGCTACGAGAGGCTTCAAGGCGATTGCAGTTGTTGGAGGGTGGCTTTCTTGATTAGCTTTGCTTGGCAAGGACGCTTGAGTTTGTGTGTGTGAGATCACCATTTCGCCTTTGCATAGAAGTATAATTAGACCACAAACATCAATCATTGCATCTAGGGCTTCAGTGTAAATCTTGTCACTGTTTTTTTTTTTTTTTTTTCCGAGCTACTTATACGTCTACTGCCATGCTATGGTATATCATCCTGGTTTGACTTTAAGGTAGAGTTAGCTGGCTATATATATATATATATATATAGCCAACTGGCTGTATTTTTTTTCAATTATGAGAGGTCGATTTTGGAATTATAATAATAGTAATTAATCCATGTTAAAGGAACAAATCAACATGCATTAAGGTTTGCTTTTGGAATATATGTATAAATGCCGGCTACTATTCCTACAATATTTGTCCATTTTTCTTGGCACATTTTCTTATCCGGTGATGCATATTTTTCAATCTTTATTAATCGTTGCATAAGCATTCCTATATGGCCTGCATAGCCGTCAAGGCGTTTTTATATATATTTACTAATTAATTATCTTGTAATTAAGACTTTGTTAGGAGCAGGATTAAATTAAGACTTTTTTCTTCATTTTCTCTTTGTTCAGCTAACTACCAACTATTAGAAAGTATGTTACTTTCTATATTACAAGAATCGACCAAACTATTATGAAAATAAAACTTGAATTTGTTAAGAGTGGTTTAAGAGATTAAATGATTTATTTATTTTCCAATTCACACGTATCATTCATCATAAGTATCATGTTTTGTAATTCCTAAACATATAATTCAAATACAATTTATAATTTTGTGTGGCTTTTATGTGCGTGGAGTAGATGATCATGACCAAACCACATTAATTTCTTATCTTTTATTATTTCTTATTTTTTTCACAACTCAAAATTTAATACTTATTCCGGTTATAAGATAGATTAATACATATGGTTTTTTCACAAATAATTAGCCTTTGATCGAGTCCATTATAAATTTATTTTTTTAGTTTTGAGAAATGAATGAATTAGTTTTTTGTAAAAAAAATAATTATTATTTAGTCTATTAATCAGTATTAATTATACTTAACTTAATTTTATTTTATTTTATAAAATATATTTTTATAATATCTATTTGTTTTTTCTATTTGAAAAAATAAATATACAAAATAGATAAAAATAAAAATAATTAGTTTTTGATATAGAAAGACTAATTAATTCGTTATTCAAAACAAAAGGGATTAATTTGTAATTTACTCGCATTTGATGGAAGATAATTTTGTAAGAAAAAAAAGATGGAAAGTAAGCCATTGTTGTTTTATTTCTTTAAATCCCGATGGTACATGTGGTTTCTCTGTAGGTAAGCGAGGGTATGAACTAGGTAGCTAGATACTTCCAGTCTCTGAGGTGGCCAGGTGGGCACAGAATGTGTCATCTTTAAGGTCACATCCTACATTTTTGTTCTCTCCTTCTCCCTGAAAGTTAGGGGTGGGTAAGCTTAGGATTAACCCATGATATGATCTGAAAGATGGGACAAGATCCATTGTCTTATTATCAGCCGCTGGCTCCGATCTAGAAAATCGTTAGACATCGAAATGTTTTTGTTTGATCATCTAGAGTTTTTTTT